AATCTAATAACAAATGGAATCTTTAGAGAAGAAATGATGGCATGGGCGATGTGTGTTATCGGTTCAAGAGTCAAGACAAATGCACAAGGATCCAAGAAAGAATTCAAACAAAAAAAGAAATAGTAAAAGTGGAAGGTGTGTCATGTGTGATGTGTGATGCCCACTTCTAACGGTTCACAATATTAGAGGAATCCAATTTAATTGTTTGGTTAAACAAAGTCTAAAAAATCCATAAATTGACATGCAAAACTACCAGCATAGATGGGTGAATTCAGAAAAATGATTCAAGTTTGAACTTATTGATTAAAGCCACCTTGCTAAACATGAATTAGTTAAACTAACCACAGCAACATTGACTATTAGAAACTGATCATCTGAACCAAATTAATAAAAATTAAGCGTTGTCTTTAAATATTGAAACTAAATACAATTTCCACATACGGTAGTTGTTATAATATTAGCTACCATCTAATCTATTAAAACTGAAGTACAAATAGTATTTACCCCTTATAGTTGCACAAAAATTACAATCTCATGCCACTGATTTAATATTTCCATTTTTAATTAAAATAAATCAGAATAAAACCAATCCGATGACTAAAGCTTTTTCTTGCACAAACCGATATCCCTTCACAAACCGAGATACAACTACGTTATTATCCGTTGCATTTAACCTGTTTTCATAACAATTGTGTGTAGAAAATAAATTTGATTAATCAACTATTTTCTTTGACAAACCAAGAAAACCAAAAACTATAATCATATTGAAAAATAATTGAAGAACTTACCACGCTCTAAATCAAAAACCAATAAATACAATCATACTGAGAAATAGATAACCGAAATTTGATTGTAAAGTCTGAGTTATCCAATTGTAAACCGGATTATTAGTTAGATCATGCTTCATATAATCCCAAAGATTACGACCTATACAAACAGAAAAATATTTCAATAACAAGCTTATTGCCCACGTAAATTTCGTGAAAGTTAATAACTGCATTGCCTTATATTTTACATTTGTAATTATTCCTAAATATTCTTAAAATTCTCTAACGTGGATCAATACAAGGAATATGCCCAATAAAATCTTCAACATTGCAATAATTAAACCTCAAACTACGGTACAAGGAAAATATTGTCATAACAAACACGTATATGCCTATCTAAAAGTATAAAAAGAGAATATTCTAATATATAAAAACTAATTTACATAGCTATGCCGTTTAATTTAGATCTTGACCGTGATTAGCTCCATAAAATCTAGCTATTAAATACAAAATCATATATTCCATATTCTTTAGCGTATGTCTCTATATATAATCTCCTCTTTCCCTTGCTTTTTTATGTTTAGAACATCAAAAAACAATGTGGCAAAGAAGCAAAGTTTTTTTTCTTAACGACGTGAAACCCTACAAAACCAGTTGGCGAGTCCAGTACACGTGAAGTGTCTTCACTCATGGAAATCAAACACCAATTTTGAAGGCTAATCTCTTGAATGCATTCTTTCACAAGAACAAGTAAGTTTAAAGTGTCTACATATAATTCACGTGTCGTTTAATCTTAATACAATATTAATCTCTAAGCATACAACCAGCAAATATTTATGTAAGCTATTTTGTCATGTTTAGGATGGAAAAAATCATGCTTCTGCCAAAAGAAATCAGATGCAACACAATCTCCCTATTGGAGAATGGAGATTTATCGAGAAATTTACAGTTTCTAAAGCTGGAGGTTCAAGTATGCATCTTTAAGTTCTAGATATATCAATACTTTTTGACCATCTCTTTTTGTTATTAGTTTTTCAAATACAGTCATCCAAGTAAATAGAGATATGCAACCAACAATCTTAAGCTAAACAGAAATGATAAGGCCATATTGGTTTGCAATCCTAATTCTTAATTGCTTTCTNTGGAGGTTCAAGTATGCATCTTTAAGTTCTAGATATATCAATACTTTTTGACCATCTCTTTTTGTTATTAGTTTTTCAAATACAGTCATCCAAGTAAATAGAGATATGCAACCAACAATCTTAAGCTAAACAGAAATGATAAGGCCATATTGGTTTGCAATCCTAATTCTTAATTGCTTTCTTCTTATACACTAATCATGGTATAAATTCAACATTACGCAAATTTAAACTAAGTCAGTATATTACTAACCATCTTTTGGTCCTGATATTTACCAAGTATATACTTCATCGGGGTAGCCTCCAAGAAATTGATGTCACTTCTACCACAATACAATTGCATGCAAAAAATATTGTGGTAAATCATAGACATTCATCTGTCATACTTTAAAACATAATCATCCCTGAAATATGTTTTGTATAACAATTAACATAACATTAAACTATAAAAGAAGGATATATATTTATTAAGTATTCCAATATGCAAGTAACCAATGAAAACTAAATAGAATAATGGTAACAGATTATTCAAACATGAGAAATTTTACTAAAACTCACATACTTATTTTAACTCTAAGACAATCATTAAAGTAAACCCAACGAAATACTTAAAAATAATCAGTCATAAGCCAATCTAAAGACATCATTTGATCAATATTAATTGCGCTTCCTACTAGAGTGACTAATAGTGTTACTGTTGTTTGGTTACAGCACAAGGTTAATAATAACACGGCAAGGGTCACATGAGCTTGAATATCAAACGTCAATTGGCCCGATCAATGTAAACGAACTGATTTTAGAAAACTAATCTTAACAAATCTCTAAGATTACACAGACATGCATAACATAAACCCGGTTTAGAATAAAATATGTATAAGAATTTGCCTTGATTAGTTTAAGGGGTTGACTCAAAGCCATTCGGATCATATCTAATAAACTCTGAAATAACTTTTGGTTTCTTTTCTTTGTACATCATGCCAGACACAACATCATTTTTAAATATAGCTTTAAACAGAACTGAGACAATCATGTCAATCCGACATCTCTAATTGACAATAGTCTATGATCTTCATAATTAATCAGAACTATAACAATGAAGCCAATTTGTGAACTCATTCCATCATACTCTTTAGCTAAAGACTTTGATTTATGATGGATTCAGAACTATTAGAATTGTCTTGCAAAGAATAAAGACCTGACATCAAGACGAAGTCCTGGAAATTAGTACTTGCAAACTGCGAACAAAGAAGAGCTTCTACTGATTCGATCCACAATCTGTAACATGCAAGACGTTTTTTCTTCTTGATTAAACCGGGGATGGGCTCTAACACATAATATAGATTAGAAAACAACTAATCATAAAAAAAAAAGTTCAATTTGTAGTAATCAATAGATCTATATTCTGTCATCCTTTGAGTGAAAACTTCACAGGAGATTACGAAGATCTCACCAGAAAAAGTGACGGCACTGACAAAGATATCGGTTGAAAAAAGTCGTCGAAGTAATACATGTTTCTGTTTTTTTCTCGCGGAAAAATACATATGGGCCTCAATTTTGATCGTAATAGTCCACTATTTTTTTATAAAATCTGATGTAACAATTTCGAGTTATACCAAATAGGCCCAATTCAATGTATTTGCACTTGCTAAATGTAATTGCTATAAATCTTTACTTATTTAAAATGTTATTTGTGTTACTTTCCAATTAGTTTTTATTGTTGCTGTCTAAATAATTTAATTTTTTTTTTAAATGTTAGAATATAAATTCAAATATAATTTTAATCACAACATTAATAGTATCATATGATAAACACACACAAAAATTCTACTGTACCAAGTAAAATAAAAAAAAATACAATAACAGATGAATACAATCGCATAGAATAAAAGTATACGATAAACAAACTGAATAAGATACACTAATGTCACAGCTCAATAAACAACAAATCAGTAACTTTAATGTTTTTACAACTAACAAAAAAATATAATTAGGTAGAATTTACATCCGTGCGGACGCACGGGTCAAAAGCTAGTTATTACAGAGAAAGATTAAAAAAATGAGATGGGAGGTATAACGTGGGTTAATGACTTCTACACTAAAGAAAACAGTAAATAGAACATGTCGTTCTCTTGGACCGACCACGATAACTATTTTAAGTCTCTATCTTATATTTTTGTCCTTATTCTTATATAGTTACATCAGAGCCTGACTTTACGAATGATTCATACGCAGACAAAAATCGAACAAAATGATCTCACAAAACTTATATTTTATTTGATTAGTCCTTCATTTGAATTAACTTTTTTATATTAATCAACTTTCTTTAAAATAGCTTCAAAGTTTCCAAATATACACCAGCTGATGATTAGTCAAGCTTTCTTTGATTTATGTTTGATGTTATGAGTCTTTTTACTTTTTTTTTTGCGGCTCATAGGATCGGTTTAGCTATCTAGCAAACTGGATTTCAAGTTCTTTTGCAATCAAACTTTTATTACATTGTTAATGATAGACTTGGGCGTTTACCTCAATCCAAAATAATAACCTTAATCCGAACCGAAAAAAACAAAACCGACTCCGAACAGTTTTACAAAAATATCTGAACGGAACTTATGAACTAACTACTTTGGACTTTGGTTCTAATCCAAACCGAACCGAAATCCGAATTAGGATCGAAGGTATTCGAAATTAATTAAAATGTTAATGTTTTTATATATGTTAAGGTGATAGTAGATATTTAGAGTATTCAAAATATTTTTGTAGTTAGTTTATTTGTTATTTTGAATACTTTTTAGGTAATTTAGATATTATTAATTTTTTTGGACAATTTTTGAGGTTTTAAAAATATATTTTTAGACGATTTTAAACATTGGTTAGATCAAAACCGAATCAAATCTAAAAACATTGGTTAGATCAAAACCGAATCAAATCTAAAAGAAACTGAACCGAACCGGACCGGATCCGATAATTAGTAAAACCCGAATGGTACTTATAAGTATAACACCAAAAATCCGAATAATCCGGACCGAAACCGAATGGGCCACCGAACACCAAAACCTAATTAATGATATTAACATTTTTAGCAAAATAAAACAAACCAGCTGGTTGAATAGTCTTAAAACCAACTCTCAACAGCCATGCATAAATAAACCACTCTAGGATGTAAGTAGACCTCCATATATATATTTGACCATCATCTAATGTCTGATGACTGTTAAATATAAGTCTATCTACAGGCTTCATGTAGAAAAAAACCCTCCTAGAAGTATACTTCAACATCTATTTTTTATCAGTCAAGCAGAATAAGAGTTCTATCTCCAAAGCTATATCTTATCTTTCAAAAACAAAAGCTATAACATCAAAACTTCAACTTAGTTCTCCACATTTCTCCAATAACTTTCCCTGGCTGTGGATTGTCCGGTCCTCTATCTCGTTGCCCTGACGTGAAGTACAAATAGCCGTTCCAGTATCCAGCCATTGCTGTTTTTACACGGTACGGTAACCGTCCGATCACAGACCACCTCTGAGATAAAAATTTAATTACACAGTTAAAAGAAAAAGATAACAGAAAATTTTACTAAGATAAGCAACAATACTGACCAAAGTGTCTAACTGAAACCGGAAGATCTCTCCAACAAGAACAAGTCTTTTGGTCACTGGATGCCAATCCGTGGTCCCACCAACGATAACAATGGAGTTATTGACGATGATCCACGCAGATTCAATGTGTGAATTGTTCTTTGGCATAAGTGGTAACATTTTCCACTTCATCTCCTCGTCCATCATGTACACCTCACCATTGAAGATCTGAAATGAGACAAAAACATTAGGAAATGTCTGAGGAATGTGGATTGAAAAAAAGAGGGTGAACCTCTCGTCTACGTGAGCATTTGAAGATTGGTGAGTTAGGTTTGGCCATGAAGTCACCTTCTTGACCACCGATCACAAGTAGCTTATCGTTAGCAACTACACAAGCCCTACAAAACCATTAAACCATGATGTTAGCAACACATAACAAAAGGTAAAAAGAAGGCAGTGTGATTTGGAGCAAGTATTAATTAAAAACCTGTGTGGTCCACCTCGAGGGATTGGAACCTCTTCTTGCCATTCATCAAGAGCTTTTCCGTCTTTTATAGCTATGCTCCAATGGTCATAAGCAATGGCGTTGCGATTCTCTTTGCTTCCTCCCATCACATGTAGCCTCCCTCTCCATATCTGAGTCGCTGGAGCATACCTGATATCCAACAAAAGAAGCTGCAGCTTATATGGTAACACAATACTTTTTCACCCATCAGTCATGGTTCTTCAAGATTGATACTTTCTCCAAACCCTAAACCCTAATGACTCCCTCAACAACTACATTCCGCTTTTCATTGTTTTACCGAGCGGAGTTGACATCACTTTCTAAGTAAATGCAAAGCAACTAAAGACCTTTTACCTTGGAGCAGGCAAAGAAGGAAACTGGAGCCAAGTCTTAGTGAATGAGTCCAAGACAAAAGAACGAGAAGTTGGTCCTCTGCATTGAGGACCAAACTGCCCTGAAACCACATACACAAACCGTCCATCCGTCACAATCCCAAGGTGAGAATTAGCCATCTCTTTAGGTGTGTCGAATCTATCACACCACTTGTTGTCTGTGAAATTGAACACATCCACATGAGAATGAACCTGCGTGAGGATAATCATTCAAAAGTCATCAAAGCTCTTAACCCATTAACAAACACATTCTTCCTGAACATTGAGTATATATATGTACTTACGTAGTCGAGACTACCGTAGCCGGAGAAGACATACAAAAGGTTCTTGATTTGTACAGAGTATCCATCAAGTCGAGGAACTGGAGCTGAAGGCATTTGCTCCCATTGTAACTCCGTCGCCGGCAAATCGGCATATGTTGCTGATAATAATAAACGGACATCTTTTGTATCATTCCATTGTTTGCTTCTCTGCTAATTAAAAAAAAAAATAAAGGAGAAAACTTTGAGAATGTAAAGTCATCGTTTTTTTTTCTCACACAGTCTAAAGAAACTTACTTTCTGAATGTGAATCTCCGGTGGGTTTTGAGGTATCCAGAAGGAAGAAACGGAGGAGAGTGATGGTTTAGAGGAACATAGACAGAGAAAAGCTGCGACGGAGCCTATTACGAGAACACTAGTGAAGTACAATACAAGCATCAATCTCGGACAATGATGGTGGTGATGATCGAGTTTGTTTGCCATTGGTGTTTTTGTAGAGACATCTTAGTAAGTAGTTATAAGGAAATATATATTTAGATTTAAAAGTAACACGACGGAGACAGAAGAGAGAGAGAGAAAGCTTTCACGTCGGTGGAGAATCTCTGATACCGGTAAAATATGTGCGCCGGTGGTTTTCTCCAGCCTTGATACCACTCCGCTCCTTGTTTCCTATTTTCTCTTCCCCTCTGAACGAGACAGAAGTTTTACTGGTTAAATGGGCTTAACAAGCCCACTATATAGCCCATGAGAGAATCCCACGCCTAATAGTAGGGCTGGGCAAAAAACCCGGATCCGAAAAACCGAACCGAACCCGATCCGAAAAAGTAGTATCGAACCCGAACTGAAATCGATTCAATATCCGAACGGGTTCAAAATTTTGATATTTAAAGAACCGAAACCGAACCCGACCCGAACCGAAGTATTTCGGATACCCGAATATATCCGAAAGAGATTTATATACCTATATATATTAATTATTTTAGATTTAATATATATAAAAAACATTCAGTATATATATAAAATACTTTGAAGTTATTCTAAATAGTTGTAAATATATGTAAATAGTCAAACATACATGTCTAAAATTGCTAAAGTACACTCAAAACTTCAAAAATACTTAAAAAAATTATTGATTCACAATCCAAATATTCAAATCAAACTAATTTATATGTTAATTTTAGATATTTTGACTTATGTTATTCAATTATTTGTAATATATTAATTTGTTTATAATTTTTTAGAAATTTAAAGTATATAATCAATTTTAAAATTTAAAAAAAAAGAATTTAAATGGGTTATCCGAAGCCTATAGTTACGTCTGGATGACTGGGTGTAAATAGATAGTTTTGTTTAGTTTTATCTGTATGTTGAAAACAACAAAAAATCTCGCTTGTGACTTGATAAATAGAAACGTTTTCCACATACATCAGCGTCGAGGAAAACAGGAAAGTGACAGATCATTTTTATAGATGTTCACACTGAAGGTTTAGAGAGAAATAAGTTAACCCAACTGCTTAAGTTTAGATCATTGTATTTTCCAAAAGTAGTTAACAAAGATAAAACACCAAAAAGTGTGTATGTAAATCATGACAGGGAGATCTTCAAGGTCTAGTAGATAGTTGTCAGAAGCTTTATCTGCTTGTAGGTGTTTTACAATTCTCAGTTTCTTACTCATCAACTCCTTTTCTGTGACTCTTGTCCCAAATGCCAACAACAAAGTTCAATGGAATTGAATGCAACATCTTGAATAACGGTTAAACTCATGCCATCAACTAAATCAGACGCAACAAGCTACGGCTAGACAAAATAAAAAACATCACCTTAATAATACTTACTAGAGTTCATAATTCTGAAACCGTCATAAAATATTGCGACAAGCCGCCAACAATAAACACCATTATCAACCGCGTAATGCAGTAAGCTTTCTAGGACTCCCACGTGATGATCAGTTTATTTGAAAACAAGCTGGCATGAGTTGGAAGCCCTGACCATACTCTCCAGTTCCTTTAACTTCTCGAGTCTCTTCTCCGGTTGAACTATTATATAGGAGAAGGTTGCTGTTTTCAAACGACTTGCATTCTTTAGGATGTATTGAGCCACCTCTTTATCATCTTCTTCTGTTCCCCCTCCGTACTTTTCCCAAACTAATGTCTCCAGGCTGTTCACCAAGCATTCAGCAACATATTTCGGTTGACTCCATCTCATATCTCCCTCGCTACACCAATGCTACACCAAACAATGGAGAGACACAGAGTATATATATCATTTAAAACCTCGAATCTGATCAGTTAGAAAAATTTACGGAAGATGAAACCATTGTAATAATGCTTACACTAATGAGCTTGAGGACTTGCAAATTAGGAGAAGTATCGAGCATGATCATCAATAGATTCCACCACTCTGGTCCGTGTGCATGTAGCTCCAAATACACCAGCTTGCTGAAGATTCTATTAGTGGGAAACTTAGTCTAACACATACACGAGGTAGGCAGTATTTTTAGTATACAAAACAATTTAAATAATAACAAGAAACTCAAATGAAATTGCAAAAGATGAACATTACCAGGTCCAATGGTGACAAAATCTCCAAAGAAAGGCGTTTGACCGAAGTGAGAGATCCATGAATGTTCGCATAGATTACATCAGACACACCAGAAATATGTGCCTCCACCAGCTCAGGCATATTCTCAATCAGAATAGAGGAGTCATCATCTATTAACCTTCTAAGGGTCAGATATTTCAAATGAGGAGCATTTATCACATAAGACGAAAAATACTCATATTCTTCACCGTCAGTAGCAAGTGTTAGACGTTGCAAGGAAGGCACATCAATAGTGAAAGTATTCACATCAGAATCATCATGTGGATACAACATAACCTCCAGATTTTGAAGAACAGGACAGCCAGATAAAAGGTTAACAACAGATCCAATGTCTTTGTATCTCACTGCGTAAAGGCGTAGAGTTCTAAGGGCCTTGAGACAAACCGGAAATGGAACGTCTACAAGGACACAAGGACCGAGTTTCAAGGTCTCAAGTGTCCCAGTCCCACAGTTGTACAAGCTTGTAGGAAACTTATACGGCTCATCAGAAGAGTAAACTTCGAGTTCCAACTCACGCACGTTGCGTCCGAACGCAATCCCTAGCAGTACTCCAATTTCAATAGTGGATTCATTTTCTAAGAACATATCGAGATGCAAACTCTGAAGAACCGGAGCCTTATGTGAATGCAAGAACCTGCATACGGTATCTGAAAACCTCTCGAGACCACCGCCACAGTAACCGAACTTGAGATTCGGTATCATCTTACAAAGAAACCGCCATCGTTTCGACAAAACACTAGTGGCTACGGCATCTTTTGTCGGAATTAAAGACAATATCTGCAGAAGCAGAGCATCCGGAAGCTCACTGATCCTGTCTCTATTTCTCAAACTTCCACTAGGCAAAATTCAAACAACAAAAGGACTTACAGTTTTAAGCAAAGCCATAGAACGACTCATAGAAGAAATAAGCAAACATAGAAGAAACATACCATCCTTTCATCTTCCTTAGGGTTTCCATTGCGGAGGCTGAGAGAGTTATGATGATCCACTGGCGTCCTTTTGTTATAAGTTAAACCAATACAAACCAGATAAAAACTGAAACATCCTTCGGTTCGGTTTTGTATCGCGGGAAACTGTGACTATTCATGTCACCCCGGGTTTTGAGTTCAGTTAACTCTTAGGATAATTAATATCTAATCTTATTAAATACTTGTCTGATACAAAAATAAATCATTTTATTTCTTTTTTTGAATTAAAAAACAATTAATATTACTTGTCAAAATAAGACAATTCTGAACTTGGCTTTAATTATAGAGAGCTATTGGTGTATGCATTTTTAAAGGATAAAACTCTATAATTATTGGTTTATAGGTCTTTAAAATGTTCGTAAAATCCTGTGTTACTGATTTTAGAATTCTTAAAAATCCATTCAAATCACTTGTTTTCAAAAGGTTTAGTCATTGTTGATTCTCTTTATTTAATGTACATCGATTATTGAAAGGGAAGTTCGAAATTTGAAATTTTATTTGGTTGGGGAAATGGGAAAATGAGAAAATTCTCTATATATTAAAGGAGAAGTATTTTTTAAGAGTTTCCATAATTTTTTCTTGGCCGTGTTTGACGTGGTTTCATGAGAAGCCGTTATTTTGAAATTGCATACATGTCGCATAAAAAATGTCTTTCACAAAAACGGTGAATTTAATGCAAAAGTGTTATAAACTGCAGAAAATTGCAGATGTTCTTTATGTTTTTTTGAGTCTAAATGTGAAGATTTATACCATTTTTTAGAGTTTTGGGTCTAAGTGTTATAAACACATGATGGTGATCAGGTTTGTTTGCCATTGGTGTTTTTCTAGAGACATCTTAGTAAATAGTTATAAGGAAATATATATAGATTTAAAAGTAACACGAAGGGAAACGAAAGAGAGAGAAAGCTTTCACGTCGGTGGAGAATCTCTGATTACCGGTAAATTATGTGCGCCGGTGGTTTTTCCCCACAGCCAGATACCACTCCGCTCCTTGTTTCCTATTTTCTCTTCCCCTCTCAGCCAGCCAGAAGGTTTTACTGGTTAAATGGGCTTCACGAGCCCAATATGTAGGCCCATGATCACACGCCTATACGTCTAGGTGGGCTGGGTGTAATATACAGTGTAGATAGTTTTTATCTGTATGTAAAAAAAAACAAAAAAAACTCTCCATAGTGAGTAAGAAAAAAAATAGTTTTCACATACATCAACAGCAGTGTCGAGGAAGACGGTAAAATTGGAGTACAAAGATGTATTCTTTATTGAAAAAAACCGTCAAGATGAACTGTAACAGTATGGGAAAGGAGACAAAAACAAAATGTATAATCTCAAAAATCATGTTTGATTACGAGGCTGAAACATTTTTCGTTATTATCCTCATAAAACTCTCTAGAGATACCCAAAAGGTAAAACAAGAAATCACCTTCAAAGATTTTTATGACACAGAAAAATGGAGATACGTTATTACCCTCAGAGAGAGGATTTTCTCTTTTTTTTTTTAAGACATCCGTTGTTGACAAAAACGACTGTGGGGCCAACTGCAAAAGCTTACTAAGTAATGCTTTAGTTCACAACGTCGAGAACCAGCTTCCGGGACTTGAGAACTGACCATTTCAGCCGCCTGTAGTACGCTGCTTGGAGGAGAGCCAGAGATAGTAGGAATATCCACTTGAAACCCATCTGCAAACAATGAAACCCACCAACACATTAATTGCCATCTCAAATATGAACCTTTATAAGAGCTAGTCACGGTTATAGCTGGTTCTTTGGATGAGTTTAGAAGCTGGGCTGGAAGGATCATTAGAACTAGTCAAACCGTGTTAGCAGCATATGAAGATAATCATGTCTTAGCGCTAGACCTATTAGCATACTATACACCTTTGTACAAGACAACAAATCAGGTAACTTCATTTGAAAATTTCCCACATTAACCAAAAAATGTAATATGCACCGGAGAAGTATAAATAGAAAGATAAACCTACCAATTTCCTCTCTTCCATTTCTGGCTCAGCTGCCCAAGACAAGAATGACACAACATCTTTACCCATCTGCGCCGCAATTGACCAAAAAAGTAAAGTTAATACCCTGACACTGAGCACTAAACCAAAGATCCGTGTTTCAAATATTTTAAATGAAGGAAAGTTAACCTGTGCCTCAGTGGCGGGGACACCATCTTCATACTCAACAGCTTCATCATTGAGCATTTTCGGCATAGCAATTGCTCCACCAGGGAAATAAGGATTGTAGTGTAACCCCTCTCTTATCTGTAAAATTGTCAAGAACTCTTTCACAGCCAGCAGATTTGGGATTCCAATGTAGAAAATGAGATATAAATTACCGAAATGCCAGCAGGAGGATCACGGTAACCCGTCAGAAGAGCAAAGACGTAGTTTTGACCGTTGTGACGTGCCTGGAAGACAGAACATTGAAACAACTTAGATAACTAAACACAAATTTACCACAGATATTCAGTTTTACGTAAACAGCAATAGACCCACCTTAGTGATAAGACTTAGATCAGGAGGATAGGCTCCACCATTAGCGAACCTTGCAGCTGACTCATTGGCATATGGTTGAGGCAAGCGGTCACTGAGTTTGCCAGGACGGGTAAACATCTCACCCTCATCATTAGGTCCATCAACAACCTCGATTTCAGCTGCCATTGCCTTTGCCTCTTCCTCAGTGTACGCGACACCCACCAAATCACGGTATGAGATCAGAGACATTGAATGGCAAGATGCACACACTTGCTGATAAACTTGATGCCCACGACGGATCCTGCTCATACAACATCAAACCCTTCATCAGTTAACACAATATAAAAACAGTAAAGGTCTATTATCTCAAGTTTCACAGTCTAACTAATATATAAGGTAACAGGCTAAGAACTTTAGCTTATAAATCAAAACAATCAGTGAGAAAATACTAAAAGGAAGCTATCACCACAGGAGAAGAGAAGAGAGTGGTGACAAATATAGTAGATAAAAGAAACTCACGAAGCATGGTCATATGAGCTGAGAATGCCATCATGAGGCCAAGGGTAGTCTGGACAGGCCAATCCATGCTCAGCCTCATCAGCAGATGCTACTGTAGAAAAACTCAACAGCCCTGTAACACCAGCACCCAAGAGTGCAAATGCTCTCACACCAGAAGACCCAGTATCCACATGAGCTTTCTTCGAAGAAAACCACGACCGAACCGGAGTTGCCTACGGTAATAACACAGAACCAAAATCAGTTCAACACACTGCAAGAAAATGCCCTTTCAAAAAAAACAGTCGCAACTAATCCTTCTATTTAGAGTTAAAGTTACACATTGAAGCAGAAGCTACACACAAATTAAAAAAAACAATAGCAAAGAGGATAATCTCTTAAAACAGATCCAAAGCTGAAATCAAAATTACACAAATTAAAAATAGAATTTACAAAAAAAAAAAGGTAATAAAAAAAATCTCACAACTGATTGAGAGTGAAGCTTCCTCCTGAGAATTTGCTGGATGACTCCTCCTCCAACCATTTGATCAACGCTTTGTGTACCAAATCAAAATCGCTGGATAACAAACAAACAGAATCATGAAGCGATACCCTAGAAATCACGAGTCTACACATACAGATCCGTCGATATACCTATCCAATCAAATGCGAAATTAACATAATACGGAAAAAAAACATACAGAGAGAATCTAACCGGGAAATGAAGTAACGAGATCGGCGACGGAGACAAACGAGAAACGAAGAAGAAAGTGAAAGATAGATAAACGAGAGAGAAAATGGGAGTTCCACGATGACACCAGCGGCTGCTACACACACGAGTCCTACTTTTTTTGGCTTACGGGCCAACGTTAAATTCCATAAGCCCAATATTTCTACTCGATACAAAAAAATAATTTATCCAGCAAAATTTTATTGTGTTGGCCTAACAAGATAGTATCAATCTCTATAATATTACTAGGTTCATAGCTCCGCGCACGCGCGGAGCCGGAGATAGTGATGATGTGTTATGATGTTTTATAGATGGAAATTTGTCATTTTTAGACAGTTTTTTGTTTGGGGTTTAACCGAAAACCCGATTGAATTGAGTTGATATATGAATGAGTGAAAATTCATATGCTTTGAAATATTCATATATTATTTTAGTAATGATTTTCTTGAATATTTGTGTTATTAGTGCTTTTATGTCTAGGATGGGTGATTTATTATGTTGTTACTGTCTAATTTGTAGGTTGGTAGTATATTATTGTTAAAAAGTGAATTAGCATTTTTTATAAAAAAAATTAAGATTTTATTAAATTATATAAAGAAATATAGTTTAATGGGTTGAAGAGAAAAATATGAAACATGTTTGTTAAGAGGTTGTGTGGAATGTTTAGAGATTAATATTTATTAGTGGGTAAAGACCTGTTTTTATTTACAGATAAGAGTGTTTGACGAATTTATATGTGTTTGTATTTCTACATTTTTAACGATTTAATTGGATCTTAACGTCATTAGTGAGTTAATAACCATATGTAGCCATATATAGGTATTTTTTACTATACAACTATAATATGGGAACAAAGAAGAAATAATTTTGTTATTCGAAAAGAAATATAGTTTGTTGTTTTCAATGTTCCATGACATGTTTTGAAAATATATAACTGTAGTTTAATAAATGTTAATGCTTCGTATAATTATATACATGTATGATTAAGATAGTTATTTTTTTGTATTTGTCAAAAGTATTTTGTGGTAGTTTATAAAAATGGGAATGGTGGATTAAAAAGTTTAGTCGTATAGGACTATATTCGAACACAATGAAAATGTAGTAGCTGGGTTTTAAATGATTGAACTTGAAATTTGATGAGTCTTGAGTCTCATTTTAGATATGAAACTGGATTGTTTACTCGCCCTTTTCGTTTCTCCTCGTCATCTTCAACAGTGTAACAAGCTCTTGTGATTCTTGGTCTGATTGTGTTTTTAGCGTGTCATTTTGTGAAATTATGGTTTTTCTATAGCAGCATGGAAGAGAGATTAGCTCACCTCATTTAAAGTTGTTTCCGCCGCATTCCTTACTCAGTGAATCTCTGTTGATTTAGTGTTCTCGGAACCTGCAATAAGAAGGTTTGAATTTGTTGTATGACTTTGTTTCTATTATTATTAGTTTCGTTTACTAACACCCATACTGAATGATTTGAGGTTATCTATATGTTAATTTGGTTGGTATGGCTTATGTTTACTTTAACATGACAGAGAGACTTGAAGGCTGCACGACGGACGCCGGTGACGCGAGTTTTAGGAACTGGAGAAGCAGAGAGAGACATTTTCTAGAAGATGGTTAAAGTTAAGAGGAATAGATAAGTTTTGTGGAGATGCACATAGGGTTCATCAAAGATGAGAATCATATTATAGGATTTACAGAGGGGCTACAAATCAGGAAGATGAAGAGTTCACTGGTGAAAAATATAGATTACGAACAGACACACGGCGCAGCTCTATAACTCAGACCTGTATGAGATGATGGTGAAAGGAATCTTAATTCATTTTAAACATTGACAGTTTACAATATGAGAAAACTATAACTGTTGTAAACTTGAGGATTTTCTTTATATAATGTGATGAAGTCCAATTAAAAATGAAACTCATAATACACTTCCAGGCCCGAATTTTAAAGGAGACCATAGATGCTTCCGGCTAAATATATATTAGTTTTGGCCATCAATGTACAAGTTATCTTGTAGTTTAGTGGTATGAATGTTAATGTTTGTTTCTTAATAACCTGGGTTCGAAACATATGTTTGACATTTTTTCACATTTTTTAAAGTGGGATCCACCTAATGCTGTTGTGGCGCGTTGAGGAGTTTTGAAACTCAACTATTATAATATAGATTTGAGAAGTCAGTTTCCTACGTGTCGCGCTCACGTTAACTTTCGCGATGGTTGATTACATAGATACCCTTAATGAATTGTTAGATTTTAAGATTATTATTAATTTTTTTATTTAGTTTCCTTTTTACTTTTTTCCAATAAAATATGTATAATAAAAAGGAAATATTTCTAAAATTGTAAAACAAATTTAAAAACGAAAATATATGTATATAATATGACTTTATTTAAAAGGAAAGTTCACAAAATAGTAATACCTCCATTAATATATATTTTTAAATAACACAAAATATATATTCAAAATAATAAAAATATATATGTTCATGAATATTCAAAAATTACCAGTTACAATTTAATTTTTTGTAGAATTCATATATATGCATGAGACTTCAAAATATTATCATTATATTCATTTATGTAATTTTGAATCAAACACTTCAGTTTATAATTTATTTCATTGTAAGCACAATATATATTAAGTTATACATAATTTAACTATAATATATTTACATATCTAAGAAAATAATCAACCGAAATGAAAATAAGAAAATTAATCAAAGTTTTATTATATTTAGAATAAAAATATTATAACTGAATTCTAAAAATAGATTTTATCCAATATATCAAATTGATAACCATACCGACTAATATTGATCCAAAAATAATTAAACTGACAATAATATATCCATCGTCATATGTATAATTAGAATAATATAATATTTATTAATATAAATTATACATATAAATTTATTCAAAACTAAAACTAAATATCAATGTACAATTTATTTTTATGAATATTTATACCCGTGCATCAGCACGGGAAAATCACCTAGTACCAATAAAACATAAATATTCTATTTAATGAAAGATTTATTTATTTTCAAATTTATCCTTCATTTTATAAATAAATTTATTTTTTCATTATTGTCAATTTTGTCTTTTCTTTATAGACCTAAAACTATATACTAATGGGTTTCATTAATGGGCTCAGTTCACTTTTTAATTTTTTTCTCAAATTTCTTTAAAAATAAACACATCAACCTTAATTGGCGTAGTTAGATCTGAGAATTTTAATACTAGCCCGCAGAGTCTCGCCCCGTTTGACCCACCAGAGAACAGGTCGATCGCTTTGAAAAAATTAAGTTGCGGGTGCGAGTCAAGTGTATTTTACACGGAACGAGTGTAGATTGTTCTAATTTCAATTGCGGTACCCAGTAATCCACAAAAATAGAAAAACTATTTTTTAAAAAAAAAAAATATTTTGCAATAATATTTATTATATTTTAAATATTAAAAATTTAATTAAAAATATAATATTTAATTATAAAAGATAACCATTTTTAGACAATGCGAGTTTGACCTGCTTCCAAGCACTAGACGTAGTTAATTGATATTATTTTTCCATAGTAAAACTACTCAATTACATACAATACATTTACATAGATATTGATGATAACAATAAATTAAAATTGGTATTAATTTTAAAAATTTATATTAGATAGTGACATTTTATATCATCAGAGCAAAAATCTTATCGATCTATCTGTAGATAAAACAACAAAAAAGGTATCTGCGCTTTTTAAGCGCGGGTCAAAAATCTAGTATATTTGTATTTTGGCTTTCGTGGTATAATAGATTTGATTGGAATAAAATTGTTTAAATAATGAATATTTTACATTATTGACTTTTTCTGAAATATTCAATTTTAAAATTATATTACTCCTTCTGTTTCATACTATATGATGTTTCAGAAAGTTTTTAGTGTTTAAAAGGGTAATATTTTAATATTAATTTTAACTTTACTGATAAATTGCCCAACCAATAACATTTTAGAATATTTTATCATTAATTTGTATGATTAGTTCAAATCATATTTTAATTTACATTTTAAGCATGGTTTTAGTAAAAAAAAGTTAAATATGTATATATCAATATTAGTATTTAGTTGTGCGATTCTTAACTTTAAGAAAAATATAACCCAAAGTATTTCAGTAAAAAAAAAATGGTTGGATTTCCCGTAAAATTAAGAACTGAACAATTAAATACAAGTATCACTAAATATATATATATATTTTTTTTTTTTTTTTTGAGAATCGTAGAGTTAGAACACCCCCCCCCCCTCCCCCATTGGAAGTTCTCTAACATCTTAGAGAATTCTAATAAGGGTTTCTCTACCAAATTTTTTTAAAAGGTATATATTTTGGGTTGAATTTCCCATAATTTTAAAATACTTATAATTAATACTAGTATGTTTGTGTATTTTAAGAACTTTGGGTTGAGAAATCCTCATTGGGATTGCTCTTAGGTTATGCAATCAAAGAAAGAAGATAATACTTCCTCAATTAATATTAACAATCATTCTAGCATTATTTTTTGTTTCACAAAAATTATCTTTCTACATTCCCACTATAATTTTTCTTCTATTTCTGACCATTTTATACAACCAATAAATTTTTAAAAACTGTTTTATTTAAATAATTATAGATTAAATGAGAATATATTGTATATTTTATATTTTAATTTGTATGAAATGTGTCTAAGTGATATTTTTTAAGAAACAGAAAGATTATATTACATAATCATAATCGATTTTGTAAAACCTAATAAAGGATGAAGCAAAAAGAATTTTCAAAATGTTAGGTATTTCCTTTGTCAAAAAAAAAGTTGAGTAATTAAAAACGAGGGAGTAAGTTTTTTTTTTGGTAAAAAACGAGGGAGTATGTTTTATGATGGTAAACTTATTTTGTGCTTAAATAAAAAGATTAAATGTTCAATGTAATGCACTTCTTTCTTAATTAACTTTAGTATTTTCGAAACTACAACTGTTATATCTGCGAATGTCGTTGTCACGAACATTTCATATTCGTTTAATCACATATGTTGGCATGCATTATGGTATGAATATATACAAGAATATGTATGTATATATATTTTCAAATGTGCGATGAGTCATGACATACCTGCTTTTTCAACTCAGGAATGGAGGACACATAATGCAACTTGATTGGTTAGACTACGAGGACCAATAAGAGTTCTCAGATAAGGTAGAACAGCATATTTTGTTTTGATTTGGACCCACGCATTAATATAATAGAAAATGGGGAATATAAAACATTATTGGAAGGCTTGGATAAGCCATACCATTAAATTTATCATATGAACCTATGTGTATGCTTCTGTATGGGTAAAACATATATTCACATTGCTTCTATATAACCAACGGGTGTGCCTCTTCGTTTATAGTGGCCCGTCAAAATTAAATACTATTGTGTGTTGGACCATACATAATCATATTAAACAAACATTAATTTGCTGATAAAATTTGAAATACAAAAGTTTAGTGACCCGAATTAAATAGCTCTAATAGGTTATCTAATAATAGTATTGGCCATTGTTTTACAATCATAATCAAACCTTAATTTTTGTAAAAGGACAATGGTATTATTCTTGTTTATATTGCGAATTTTTTGTTCACTTTACAACTAGTAAATATATTTGGAGCCATTTTTCTATTAAGCTACATCTGGCTACATTCTAGTTTTATTTTATTTCGAGTCAAACCAGGTTTAGATACGATTTAAACGAATGCAATGAACTTACATTGCATATGTACAAAATTAATATGTTGCCCAAAAAAAAAGAATATGATATAAAATTATAATATGTTGGTTTTGTTTTAAGTTTAAAAAGACAAAAGCTGAATATATATATATATATATATATATATATATATATATAAGTCTTACATAAAAAACACACACATAAGCTCTTGTACATATATGCATGTTTAATGGATCCACACCTATATGACCTGTGTATATGTTTGGCGTTACTCATCGTAACATCTCTATGATTGATTAACATGATTTTCTAACTGAATTGGTAATAGACTGCACGATAATTAACGGATTGTAATCGTAGGAAGTTTAACAAGAATTTGTCTGAAACCTAGGACTTGTAGTTTGTTTCTGAATCGCTGTCAAAATACAAATAAAAAGATTTATTCTTGTTACTCTCTTAGCTCAAGTACAGAAGTTAGGAAGGAACAAATAATTAAATTAAAGAAGCAAAAGAGACATAAATATGGTGCAAAAAGATGACATAGAAGATGCACAGAAACCATCCAATAATTCAACTGTATCTTACGCTAACCCTAAGCCACGTGGCGAATTACCATTCCTCCTCATTTGCCCCGAATGATAATCTTTCGGCTCACCGGAGAGGGACACACAGAAAGACTATAGAAAAGAAAGAGAGAGAGAGAGAGTGTGTTTTATTTTTAAAGAGAGAGAGAGAGAATTGAGAAAGATAATGGAGCAAGATGAGTGGTTGGGAACGCTAAGATACGCCGGCAAGGCGCAGGATAAGGTTTCCGTCGACAGTCTCATGCTCCGGTACCGTCCGATCGCTCCAAAGCCGACGACTGGTCAACCATGCGACAACAACAACAACTCAAACGGTATGAGCAAACGAACCAAACGAAAGTACGTTAGGGTTTCCAAGAATAATAAAACCACGTGTCGAGGTAAGAGCAGATCTGACGTGTCTGATGGTCGGGAACAAGCTGGAGTCGTGACTCTTCAACTCATGCCCGAAAAGTCCGATCTGTCAGGCGAATATACGCCGTTGGATCAGGATACTCTCGATCCGTCGGTGAAAACGATAATCGGAGTAGAAACACGAGAAACCAACACATGGGCCATGTTTAACGGCGGTGTGACGGCGGAGGTAGAGACATGGGTGACGGTGGAGTCCGTCACAGGCGTATATGACGGTGGTTCGAGTTCCCATGCGGTGGGGTGCACGGACGTAGAGATGGTGGATAATCTAGGTAAAGACACGTGTCCTGCCTTCGTATCTGATGCCTCGAACCGCGTGGTTTGGGTTAACGAGGCTTACCGGAGAAATGTCTCCGGTGAAGATTGGTCGACATCTTTGTCGTTGCCGGATGCGACGGTGTGGTTGGTGGTGGATGAGTCGACGGTGGCTATGTATTGTAACTACCGAGCTTTCACGTGTAGGGTGAGGATGCAGTACACCTGGCAGGATACAAAGTATACCAAAACGGTGCCGTGTGATGTATGGAAAATGGAGTTTGGTGGCTTTGCATGGAGGCTAGACACAACAGCTGCTCTGACTCTCTGGCTTTGATGCTGGTTGCTGCCTGCCTGAAAGATGATGGTAAGAATGATATAAGGTTAAGCTATGTGACTTAAAAGTGCGACTAATCACAACCTTTTAATCACTTTAGCGAACTTTTTTTAGGCATATAAGAAGGTTGAATAAGAAACAAGTGATGATAATGTTGAGAAGTATATATAAAGAGCTGGGAATGCTTAAATATATTGAACATGCTGTAATAATGGCAGATGTTTATTGGAAAACATTTAAATAAAAGATGCCATTGTATGGTTTCCTACCAGTTTTGGCTTCTGTTTATATTCTAGATCGATAAATCTGCTAGATATATAACAGATCAGTGTGTTTTGAGATATAGTCTGTTATTTCGCTGTTACAGTGTATTTTAGGTAAAATGAATTTATATAACATGATTTAAACTATATTGTAAAATAAATTTGATCCTTGGCTAATGAATATGTTATAAACTTAGATTTGATATATATATATATACATACCAGTGTACATATATGTATATGTTGCTATATAGAACACATGAAACGTTATGGGGACTAGGTGTCATACTTGGTAAACAATTACTTCACGAAGCTTTCGAATCCCCCAATTACACAAAATATACAAACACTTACGTGTACATATGTTAGGCTATATCATTAAGATATAAAGAACAACGACATGCTCCATATTTTTCTGTCCTTTGAACGTGCACTTGTCTCTTCCCTATTGGAAGACTCATATATAGCTTACTTCTTTATAAGTTTACCTGTATATTTAATGTTTACGGCTTTGAATTTTGACTTTTCTATATGTGTTTCTTAGAGAGTTGTAACCAGCATCACCTTAATTTCTTAATCAACATTCATGCAGCTTTTTAAGTATGCATTCATGAATCATACACCCATCATTTTTATGCATCAAACAAATGCATGTATGCCTCTGCGTTTATATATGAATATATGATTATATAAAAACAAAATACATCACCAGGTTTTCAATTTCTTTTTAATGTTCTCTATCTTGAAATTCTATAGTTTGAGCTTTATTTTAAGTGTAGTTTGCTTCTACTTTCATGTTCTTATATAATGCATTGACAGACTAGGAGCGTTATGCGATATTTTGATTTATTCAGGTTATACATGCCAGAAACACATGTATAGAAACACTGCATACAAGCACGCTTATATAGTTATATGTGCATAACGCATATTAATGTTTCTTGAAATATTTAACCATATATATAATCAAGTTATATTCGTCCAAAAAAAAAAAAATATAATCAAGTTATAAAGCAACAGCTTCGTGGGCTCTGCTTACCTCTGCATGTGGAGAAGCCTCATTGGCTGCCAAAAAGGTTGACAAGTTTAAAAAGAAAAAGCCAAAAGTTCTTCTAATGAGGAGGGAGAATAAATAAAGTTGTAACATTCACACACAGATCAAGCATACACTTGGCATTCTGTAAGAGAAAGATACGAACCAACCAGCGTCTTCACATTTCTCCTTATCTTTCTTTCCGACAAACTGACGTCATTATTATCTAGGACCCGTTGATTGGTGCGGTCGTTCACGTATCACACAGTGAGCTTAAAATCGGGCCGTACGCGATGACAAGTGTTTTGTGCTCGCGTAATTTAAATTTAACAGTCCTCTTAAGTGCGATGGAATTTTTGGTACACGAATGACAACTTTTCATTTGTAGTTGAAGGTACTCAAATCTTTAATGGCTAACCAAAGATTTCGAACGTGTTAGTTATACAGGGATAGAAAATGAGTATCTTACCTAATATTTGTGAATGATCGAGAATTTTAGTGGATAGGTTCAAGTTTATTTTAGAGTAAACATCAAAGTATATGTGTTATCTATTCCATAATAGTTGTGAGTCTGGAGACTAATTGTGGATACATAATATTTCCGAATAATCGAGGGTTTTAGTGGGTAGGTTCAAAATAATTTTAGAGTTTAAATATATTTTCAACTAGTTGGCAGAATAAACGGTCTCTCTCTTTCTTATTATTTAAATTACTGTTAAATTACTCTTACATTTTCAATGATAACATTATTTTCAACTATTTCGGTCTCTCTCTCTTTCTCTCATGAACTCTCATTTGTTCTTCTTCTCTCATCGACTTCTCGCCTCCTCTTGTTTCTCTCTGGCGAATCCACTTCAATCTCCTCCAGTCTCGTGTTTGGTCTGAGCGAAATCGACGAAATCAGTCGTTGATGATCTCTCCTCGACGGAATCCCGCCTCAATCCGTGAGGCCATCGCTCTCCTCGACTGGTCCGTCATCTCTCCGTGTGATATCTCCTCAAAAATGATCTCTCTTCGTCTCTCACTCCCCGACGACTCGCCGATGAATTTGTCGAAGATGATCTCTCCTCCTCTCTCTCTCGACGATTCCCTTGTTGAAACTGTCGGTGACTCTGCATGTCGATCTCCTCAGAGCATATTGGAGGATATGTTTGTCGAGGTATCTTTAGTGTTGTTTAGTGTTGTTTAACCTCTATTTATCGGAGTCTTTATACATCTACGCTTGTGTGCAGATATGGGCTATGAGGAGCCTTTACAAATCTATGCTTGTAAAGATATGGGCTCTGAGACGATCTATACTAAGATAAGTTGAGCTTTATGTGTTTTTAACATCGACCGAGTTTTTGAGATCTCATATGAGTGTTTGTGATTGCTCAGGTTTTCAAGAGGTACGTGGAGATAGGGAGAGTTGCTCTTGTCAACTACGGAAAAGACCATGGAGAGAGTAAGTTATCTCTTTGTTTTGTATTTGAACTAGCTGCAAGTTGTTTGTGTCTGATTGAGTCTTTTGCTAATGGGTATTGTAACCTTTACTAGACTTTTGTGTACATGTTCTTATGGAACCGGTTAGTTTAGGAAAAAAATAGATGTTATTGTTGAACCTTGGTTTTGTTCTACTCGTAAGGTTTCATCTTTTTATTATGGTACATGCTCTTTCGTTTGTTGTTGATTAATTTCGTTTTATTTGTGTCTTTGTCGTGAGATGTATGGATCAAACAAAGAAGATGGAGTTGTTTTTAACAAAGAGACATGAAGGAAGGTTCATCGACCAAAGCTCTTCATTCGTGTAAACATGTTACTAAACTGAGCATGATTTAATCACATTGAATGCGTTATGGTTGAGCTTGGTTGGCAATTTACTAAAGTGGTCGAGTTAAATTGGTTAAGAGTTAAATGAGCTTGCTTTGTGGTTGAGTTAAATGAGTTAAACAAGTGGTTGAGTTAAATTAAAAATGACAATTGCTTTGGTTGTTGGTAGTTGTTAATGCGAGTAACCATTATCTTCTTTAAAACTCTTCTCTTCTCTTCCAACTTAAACAGATTCCTATCTGTTTTTCTTTCTTCTTTTGACTTAGGAAAATGGATTTTAATCCATATAGCGATTCTGGTAACTTTGTTGACTTACTTACCAGTTAACAAAGTGTTGTGTTCGGTCAAGACAGTGTTTCACAATCTCAACCGCAAGGTCCCCCCTTAGGTGAAAACCCTGAAGCCATTCGTAAAGAAAGAAGAACTTGGACCCAAACAGACGATATAGTACTCATCAGCGCGTGGTTAAACACAAGCAAAGATGCAATCATTGGGAATGAAGAAAAGTCTGTTGCCTTCTGGTCTCGAGTTGCTGCGTATTTCAATGCTAGCCCTAAGCACGCTGGGTGTGAGAAGAGAGAGCTACCTCACTGTAAGAATCGCTGGCACAAGATCAATGAGGTAGTTTGTAAATTTTGTGGAGTTTATGCAGCTGCAAACAGAGAGATAACCAGTGGGCAAAATGAGAATGATGTTCTCGAAAAAGCCCACACGTACAATCTCGCAAACTACAGAAAAAAATTCAACCTTGAGTACGCTTGGAGGGAGTTGCGTCATGACCAGAAGTGGAGTGAGCAGTCTTTGACTAAATCTGCATCCAAAAAGAGGAAGTGTGGGGAGAGTGAAGCTTCAGCAAGCTCTCAAGCTAACACTGGTGTAGATGAGGAGGTAACCACTCGCCCCATGGGTGTTAAGGCTGCAAAATCCCGAGGTAAGAAGCCGGTTGCAGAGGGGGATGCACTGATACAGTTTCAGAATTTGTGGGAAATTAAAAAGGAGGAAATTGCCATGAAAGAAAGGGTGTCAAAAATAAGTCTGCTTGAGTCATTGATAGCCAGAAAAGAAGGGTTAGATGATGAAGAAGAGGCTTTGAAGAAAAAAATTACGAAAGAATTTTTCTAATGTTTGGATGTTTCTCTGTTGTTGCATTTTTTCTGTTGTTTGAATTTTCTCTGTTGTTGCAATATCTCTGTTTTAATGTTTGAATTATCTCTGTTTTAATGTTCGAATTTTAATGTATGAATTTTCTTGTTTAATGTTGTGTTTGGAATGTTTTAATGTTTTAATGTTTGAAGTTTAATGTTTTAATGTTTGAATTTTAATGTACGTTTGTAATGCTTCTTGTTCTATCTCCAGGTGATGAAGAAGAAGGTTGAATAGGGATGTGGGTGCACTTCTTACCATCAGAGCCACGTACCATGTTCTGTTAGCAACGAACAGAAAATGTGGCACTGATAGTAATTAGTGTTCCCAAACCCTAATTAAGATTGAAGAATGCTTGGGAGAATGCTTGATGATCTATTGTGTTCTAATGCTTGATATTAATTAGTCTATTGATAGCTTCTGTTATGGTCTATTGTGTTCTTTGTGTTATTGTTGTTGATGGTCTTTGCTTTGCTCCGTAGGTGATGGTCTTCCTGACACAACAAAGCTCTCGTGATGGTCTTTTTGATGTGCTCCGTGACACAACAGGGCATGCTCAGTGACAAGACACAACAAAGCTCACTGATGGTGTTTGCTTTCTCGTGATGGTCTTTGCTTTCTCGTGATGGTCTTTTCTTCCTCATGTGTCCGAATCAATAGGGCATGCTCAGTGACAACAGGACGCAACAAGACAGAACAAAGCTCTCGTGATGGTTTTGCTTTCACTTTTCACTTTTTTTTTGTTACAACTTGTGTAACAACTTTGTAAAATGTTTCATGTTTCTTTTTGTACCAACTTGTGTAACAACAACTTGTTTGTTTACATTCTCATTCTCTATAAAGTCTCATTCTCACAAAGCATAAAAATCACGAGCACACAAAATATTTTTAACAACTTCTCATTCTCATTTTTTACCACTATCCTATAAATTGTTTGTTGCCTTCTCATTCTCATTTTTCACCACTATCCAAAAAATTAAAAAACTCAAATGGCCTCCTCTTCTCATAATGATTTCGATCATATTTTTGATGAGTTTTTTGATCAACAGTTTGCTCAAACGTTCGAGGCTTTAACCATTGCTTATGGTGAACAAAAAGCAAAAAAAAAAGAAGAAAAAGACTTCATATCGAAAGAAATCGAGAGGAAGGTAATGTACGCTTATGGAATGATTATTTTAGCGAAACTTCGACGTATCCACACAATATTTTCCGACGCCGTTTCAGAATGAACAAGCCATTGTTCATGCACATTGCCGATCGACTCTCCAATGAAGTTCCATTTTTTGCCCAAAAGAGAGATGGTCTCGGAAGGGTTGGTCTCTCTACACTCCAAAAATGTACAGCAACTATTTGTGTCTTGGCATATGGTACTGCGGCTGATACGGTCGACGAATACCTACATCTCGCTGAATCCACCACTCGATCATGTCTGGAAAATTTTGTGGAAGGAATAATATATTTATTCGGCGACGAGTAATTGAGACGACCAACACCGGCTGACCTTCAACGTCTACTTGATATTGGCGAGCATCGTGGATTTCCCGGGATGATAGGAAGCATCAATTGTATGCATTGGGAGTGGAAGAATTGTCCCACAACTTGAAAAGGACAATATTCACGTGGTTCGGGTAAACCAATAATCGTTTTAAAGGCGGTCGTTTCATATGATCTTTGGATATGGCACGCGTTTTTTGGACCTCCAGGTACTTTAAACGATATCAATGTTCTTGATCGCTCACCTGTTTTTGATGACATAATAAAAGGTGAAGCTCCGCAAGTGACTTACTATGTTAATGGACGAGAGTATCATTTGGCTTACTATCTCACCGATGGTATTTATCCGAAATGGGCAACTTTTATCCAATCTATTTCAATGCCACAAGTACCGAAAGATGTTTTATTTGCTCAACGTCAAGAAGCTGTCCGAAAAGATGTCGAGCGTGCTTTTGGAGTCTTTCAAGCTCGTTTTGCAATTGTTAAAAATCCAGCACTTTTTGGGGATAAAATCAAGATTGAGAACATTATGAGAGCATGTATCATACTCCATAATATGATAGTAGAAGACGAACGAGATGGATACACTCAATTTGATGTTTCAGAGTTCCAACACGGAGAAGACACCGGAAGTTTACATGTGGATCCCGCGTATTCTACAGATATCCCTTCAAATATCGCTAATATGATGAATGTTCGAAATATAATTCGTGATAGACAGATGCATCAACAACTAAAAAATGATTTGGTTGAACATGTATGACTTAAATTTGGACGTGATCAAGACGACAACTGAACTCCGATGCTGCTTTCAAATTATTATAGTTTATTTTACTAAGCTTTGTTTTATGTTTTAAAAAAAAATCTTATGTTTAAAATGTTATCTTTTAGTATGTTTTATTTAATCGAATAATTTTAAGTTTATTAAAATATGTTTAATTTTTTTAATTTTTTAAGAACCCTAAAATCAGAGCCTTGCATTGGACCTATTAAATCTATGGGTTACTTATTTTATCTCTTAAATCACTTTTTCTATTAAAAACCATTAGAAAATAAATAAGCCATAACTATGCATTAAAAATGCTCTAAGAAGCTAAAGTTAATGTCTGAACCAGAGTATAGACTCAAAGGACAAAATAAGCTAGAGTATACACTATACACTATCAGGTACGAAAAGACTTAGAGTGTGAATGGGAGTATAGGACAAAGACAGGACAAAAGCAGGTCAACTGCTTTTACTTTTCCTGCATTAAAAGTTGCCATTCACGTTTTTTTAAAAATAATTACATTGGAAGCAGGACAACTGCACATATACTGTAATTTTTGTCTTTTTCTGCACAAAAGCAGATGTCCTGCATGCTTGCTATCCTCTCACCTTTTGAAGCAGATGTCCTGCATGAACTTCTTTTTTCTAACAAAAGATGTATTTTTATAAATAAAATTAAACAAAAATTCTTTACTTTTTGCATATAAATAGATTCTACTTTTAAAGAAAATCATTAGTTCTTTCTTCACTCTTCTTTCCTTCCTACATAAGTCTTTCTTTTTAACTTTTTTTTTCCTTTAGAAAACTATTTAAATGTTATGAATACTAATCCATGTAATTGTTATTGCAGCTATTTTTGAAGACTCCTTGCCTTTTCTTTTCCACGTAAGTTTTCATGTTCTAAACTTAATTTTTTTCCTTTTTGCAAATTGTTTCAAATATTTAGATGTTATAAATATTAATTCATGTAATTGTTATTGTAGCCATCTTTGAAGACTCCTTCATTACCAAGAAAATAAGGTTTTTTTCTTACTGAACTAATTTTTTCCAATTTACTTCTTTTTATTTTATTTATATACTATACAATAGTAGTTGTAAATATAGAAGATTTAATTAAAAATCTTTATATCTTTAGTGTATTTTATAAGTTGACTTATAATACATGAATGTAAATATATATTTATATTATAAGGTAGATATATGTATTAACTGAAAGTATAAAATATGTAACATTTTAATTCATACATAGTAAAAAAACTATATATATATATATTCCAAAAACTAATTTAGTATTAAAAATTGATATAATTAGTGTAAAACAGAAGTAAGAGTATATTTATTTACATATATATATATATATATATATATATACTTAACAAAAGCAGTTTAATATAAGTATTATTAAAATAAAATTTCTCCTTAAATTTTTTGATATTAATATGAATATGTATTAATCAAAAATAATGAAAGTGTTTTCTAACAAATTTTTCATATTATGTGAACAACTTTTTTTTGTCAAACTTTGTAAATTATAATTATATGAGTAATGTTAAAGAAATAATATAATTATATATTTATATGGTAAAAAAAGATCTATAGAAATTAGTCTAATTGGACATTATAAACTCTGGTTCAAATCAACCTTAAAACACTAAACCTATGTGCTCACGTAGATATTGACCAGACCAACGATCTTATATATGCATGAAATCGAACTTATTCGAAACCAATTGGAGCTTCGTAAAGTTAATAGTATGTTTATCGTTATTGTTTTTTTTATTGAGCCGTGATATAACGTAACTACAAGACTCTGTTGTCGTGGTGCACCGACTTCTGAATATAAACTAAAACCTTTCAAATATTCCGGTTCAATTATCAAGACTAATGCACAGAGTAATAGTTAAGCTAAATATAAGTATTGAAATAAATTTTAATAATTATTTCGAAATTATATGTATACCATATACATGTAAATTATTAGAATAATACTTTATAGATGTATCATATGGAATAAGATGTCTGTTACACTTTAATTTAATTTAATTAAAATATAAAATATATACATGTTAGAAAATATTTATTTAAGAAAATTATACTATAAATATTAGAAAAATTATTCAATAATCAATTAGAAATTACTTGATTTCTTTTGTAATCAACCAAATAATAAAGATTGGATTACATTTAATCAACCAAACTAATATTAGTTATTTTAAAATTGTAGATATGACGTCAAATCGCCGACAAAATATAACATTTTCCGATGAAGAAGATGTGAATTTACCTACAGAAACGTCAGTACGGGTAAGTACTTGATAAAATTTTAAATGTTATAGAATAATTAATAGTAAAGTCAAATGATTGTATTCTTTTAAAAAAAATTTAGAGGGAAGACAATTTTAGATGAAATCCTAACCGAGAAAGAGTGTTTATTGAGTTGTACGATCGAGCAATTGCCATGGGTGATTACCGTTTCAAAGATCCTACACCCGCTGGTAAAGAATTTCTCGTTGATAAGTTCAACCAAATGTTTAATAGTAACGTAAACTACCGGTTCTTCAAAGAAAAACTTGATCAACTAAAAAGAAAATACAAGAAGTACAAGCATCTTATGAAAAATTCTACGGGCATTTCGGTCGATCCCACGACATCTGTGATATCTGCGTCTGATTCATGGTGGAAAGATCGTGAAGTAAGTACAACAAAATCTTATAAAACCAGCATAAGTTTAATAAATGACCAAATCTATAATATTTGTAGTCTAAAACCTATATAATTCTATTAACAGGTAGACATGATTGTAAAATCATTTAAACGAAAGCCGCCGGAGCATTGGGATGTGATGCAACAATGTTTCATTTTATATGACGTCCAATCACAATCTCAATACTCTTTGCACCAAATAAGAGAAGAGTTGATGAATGATGGTCAAAACAATGATGAAGGTCACTTTTACTCTGAAACATATGGTGGTGATATGCAACACACTCAGGTTCCTGAAACACAAGAAAATGAAGAAGTCTATCGTGTTGATATTGATGATGAAATACGTCCTTCAAATGATTTCATCCCTGAGAATCTGCGTCAAAATTCTTCACCTACTGTTGACCCTTTTCAGATTCCTACTTCAAGAGCTCACCAACGAAGTAGACAAAGGCGTGGAAGTAATTCACAAAGAAGTGCAGGAAATTCTCGGACCTCTGTCAGAAGTGGATCCCAAGGAAGTCGAAGAAAACAATCATTCGAGACAACCCTGACAGATACAATGACTGGCTTTAGAGAGTTTCAACGCCAAAGTTTACAACAACTGCGTCCAAATTCTTTTGACGAAGATGATTACAATGAATTCGATACCGCTGTGAAGATATTCGAATCAATGGGGCTACCAAATGACACCAATTTCTATTGGGCGTGCATTCATGCATTCAAAGAAGAAAGATTTTGGCGCAAGTACTTTATTGACAGAGCGGAAAGAAACACAGAAGAAAAATTGAAGTTTTTACAAGCTCTTACTGGATATACGCGGGAAAGCAAATACATGGGAAAACGGTTAGAATCTGGGCAAAAGTTTGGTAATCCAACTTGTGGGCAATGGAGTTCTGGTTTTCAACAATGGGGAACACCTCCAAATCAACCACAATGGGGTACACCTCCAGCTGCACCACAGTGGGGAACACCGCCAAATGCCCCACAATGGGGTTCGTCTTCAAATGCTCAGCAATGGGTTAGACCACCAAATGTTCCACAATGGGGGTGCACCGCCAAATGCTCCGCAATGGAGTTCATCTCCAAATGCTCTGCAGTGGGGTACACAACATGTTCCACAATGGAATGCACCTCAAAATTCTCAACAATGGGGTTCATCACCAAATAGTCAACAATGAGGTTCATCACCAAATAGTCAACAATGGGGTCCTACATCTGCTGTTCCACAATGGGGTTCATCACCGACCACTCATCAATGGGGTTCATCACAAGATGCTCCACAATATATTTCTCTGAGCAATGTTCAACGTGGATTTTCCCTAGAAACAGGAGTACAAACTACAACAAATGAAAATGAAGATCATGTTTCTGAGAACGTTGCCAGAGGAGTATCACCAGAATTTGGTTTCACAAACTATGCTTATACAAGTAAAACATCACGTCCAAAAAGAGGAGGGTTATTCAACATATGGGGATCTGAACGAGAACTAAATCTAAATGAAACACATGAAAGTGATTCCACATCAGATAACTAGTTTAATAAGATTTGTGTTTTGTAGTAATGGTTATGTTTTGTTTCAAATTATATTTTGTAATTTCTGTTATTGTATTATATTTTGATTAATGGTACTTTTCATTGATTAAGTCTTTATTTAGTGATAAATTTTTTTTCAGGCTTTTCGTATATGTCAGTTGCGATCACAAAATCCCCAAAGTCTAACTCATGATGAGAGAATTGAGTTATGGAATCTGGAAAATGAGCAATTTGAAGAGTTAATAATTCAACCATCAGTGAGTTATTACAATCGTTATTTTGAAAGAGGACCAGTTCAAACCGGTGGCGGTTTAGGGTGGAGAAATATTTGGGATCGATTACAAGTAGATGCTGCAGCATGTCTTCAGTTACTATGAATGTCTCTGGATGCTTTTAGATCTCTTTGTGACATATTGCAATCAAAATATGGTTTGCATCCTACGCTGAATGTTAGTATCGAAGAGAGTGTAGCAATGTTTTTGCAAATTTGTGGGCATAATGAAGTTCAAAGAGATGTTGGATTATGGTTTGGACGGACACATAAGACAGTGAATATAAAGTTTTTTGAAGTTCTTAGAGCGACGGAGTTACTTGCTTGTGATTATGTCAAGACTCCAACAAGACAAGAACTACTTCGAATTCCTGAAAGACTGCAAACAGATAGAAGATATTGGCCATATTTTAGTGGATTTGTTGGAGCTATGGATGGAGTTCATGTATGTGTTAAAGTGAAGCCTGAACTACAAGGAATGTACTGGGATCGACATGATAGGACATCGTTTAATATCATTGCAATATGTGATCTAAATATGTTGTTTACATATGTTTGGAATGGAGCACCCGGATCTTGTCATGATACATCAGTTCTCACGATGGCACAAGACAGTGATTCTGATTTTCCTTTGCCTCCACCAGACAAGTATTATGTAGTAGATTCTAGATATCCAAATAAGCGAGGTTTTTTGGCTCCCTATAGATCTTCTCGGAATGGGGTTATTAAGTATCACATGTCTCATTTCAACAACGGTCCTCCTCCTAAGAATAAACAAGAGTTGTTTAATCGATGTGATGCATCTCTACGTTCTGTTACTGAAAGGACATTTGGAGTTTGGAAGAAAAAATGGAGGATTCTGAGTGATTTTCCCAGATATGATATTGCTGTTCAAAAAAGAGTGGTAACTGCTACAATGGGACTACACAATTTCATCAGAATTTCAAATTATTTCGATGAGGATTTTGTTGAAATAATGAGAGACACAAATTTCAGTAAAGAAGATTCTGAAAGTGATCCTCGTGATTTGGAGACAACAAATATGGCTGATGGAAATCATATGATGAACATTAGAGACAACATCGCAGATATGTTATGGGCGAATCATTAAATTATTTTACCTTTGTTTATGTATTTTTTCATTATGTATTTTGATATTTTGGTGTAATTTTTATTATTAAAATACATGATTTGCATTTTTTGAACTGCTTTTACCATTCATAACTTTTAAAATAACTTGTTCTACTTGATCTGCATCTCTCCTGTTTGATCTATATCTCTCATACATGATCCGTTTGATCTACACTTGTTATGCTTGATCAACATGATCTGCTTGATCCTGCTTGATCTGCTTTTACCATTCGGAACCTTAAACAAAAGGAAAACCAAACTAAAACGAATCATAGCATCTCTAGAAAGTAGAGACGAATCAGTCAATCAGAGATAGCATCTGACATAATATTTATTTATATAATATAAAGTATTGATTGAGTAATTTGTAGTACTCTTTGTGTGGTTGAAGTAGGATTCTATTGGCGTGAGAGGCTCCACGTGTACTGTCGCTTTCGATAGTGGTATAATAGATGGAGGTCTCTCGTTCGTCCAGCACTTGGTTGGACCTGGACCATAATCTCGACGTTCCCATCACCAAAGATACGCTAACACATAAGCATCCATCAAATAACTACTAGAACCCAAGTTATTTAGAACCAATGAATCCCAAATCCGCTCCTAAAAAAGATATTAATTGGTAAACTATTATCTTGGATTTGAGATCTAATGATCCAACCCATAATCAACTTTGATATATAATACTTGATCTTAGTTCTTTTTGTAAATGATCAAATTTTAGTACACAGTATACATAGTTATAAAGTTAAATATGGACACTTGGATCTACAAAGGATAATTACATGCATCGTATATGTTATGAACAAGACTTTACAGCATTCAAGATATCCACAAAGGGTTTTACCTACATTATCTGAAACCTATTTTTTATGCACCTCATTACTCTTAAGCTTTAAATAAAATCTACATCAGTTAATTTAATTACAAAACTATATAATACGCAAATGGACGCCATATTTAATATATAAACTCTTTTTAATATATAGACTTTTAAACCTTTGATATTGAACCAAAGGCTTCAACACTACAATTTGTTGTAATGTGAAAATATATTATATATATATATATATTATGTTTAATTATTACATGTATATATTGACTGATTGTTTCTCATCTATCATATTTATTTTGAAAAATATTATCCAGAGTTGTAAAGATCACATTTATTTGAAAACTATTATCCAAAAATGTGAACTTACCATTGCAATAATATCAAATGTTGTAACTTCAACTATGATGTTAAAACTAAATAACATTTGGATGCATCACCGGTAAAAAAAATTCCTTTTTTTTTGGAAAATGTAAAATTTATATTAGTAAAAAACATTGTTACAACAGATATGTCTTTTTGGAATATCAAACACCATAACCTGTCATGTTATTTCTCTAGTGTCTAGACGAAAATCAAGCCGTCATAGCTCCCCATATTTGTTGCTTTCCCTAATTCCCTTCTCCGGAGTGTTGATAATTTGTTTCTAACAAAATGTCATGCTCTTCCTAAACTTTTTTTCATGTTGTGTTTGGTGGAATTTTGCATGTTTTACTTTTATCTACTGACTTTTCTGTAAAGATTTTCAACAAAAGAATTCGAAATAATTCCCCTAAAATACTTTTATCTATTACGTTGAGAGGGATTATTTACAATGCTTGGGTTTCTGGTAAAGAGGTGAAACCATTTTTTTTTTACCAACAAAAAAATAATTCCCCTAAAAGCATTATTGATGTCAATCGCCAAAAGAGAGTATTACGAAATGCAATGTTGAATGCGAAGGCATGAACCATGTGAGTTGAATATACTTTGGAGCTACCAAGAGAAAGCCTCTAATTTTTTTTTTTTTTTTTGTTATTTAACCAAAAAAACTTTTGTACATTAATCTGTTATTATTGTGTTTAGAAAACGAAATTTTTAGAGATCATGACTTAGGCCATGATTATCGGCGCTTCTTAAAGGGATCTTAGCTGCTGACTAGGATAAAAATTAAATGAAAAATGGAAATTACCTTAAGAACTGTCGCTTAATTAAGCACAAGAAGACCCGTATCTTCCGGACACGCGTCACGTTGATATGGTTTTGGGAGGAGAATACGAGGAGAGAAAAAAATTCATGACGAAAACTCGAGATTTCTCTTCGACGGAGAGGAAACAATCGTGGGTGATCTCCTCGACGACGAAGCAAAGCGGCGGTGGCCTCCTCTTTGGGGTACTTCTCAGTCGAGTCGAATTGGCTGTTCCTGTCTTCGACGAAGCGAAGAAAAGAGTGGGTTCCTCTCTTCGAGGACGAAGCAAATCGGCGGTGGCTCGACGGGTACTGCACATTAGAATCGAAAGGTAAAGCTCTGGCTTTTTTGGTTTTTGTTTGAATCCTCAATTGGAAGAGGGCGCTGGAAGAGCAATATGGTGGTGAAGAAGAGGTATTGTTCTCTTTCTAGGCTTTATCTCTATATTTTCTTTGTAAATGTTATTTTTCTTAGTTCAGGTACTGTCAAATTTGTTTCTTTGCAGTTACTGCAGAATAATTCTGGTTTCAATAACCCATCTTTAAAATTCACTGATGTCTAAAGTTTTTTTTCTTTTTCTTTGTGTACGTAGGATCCTAAGTTACTTGCAGCTTTACAAGAGAGCCAAAGAAGAGAAGCTCCATATGCAGGGGTTTTCCTTTTGAAGGACTCCTCAACTGATTCATCATCATATTCTTGTACCTTTGAAACCCATGAGAATGTTCTTGACAAGTTGAAAGGCAAAGACTTGTTTAGCCGTTTTCATCAATTTGGTACTCTTGTTGAGGTATTATCATCCCCTTGCTTGCTTGGTTTCCCTTGTCTGAAAGATTTTAAGCCAACTTTTTTTTGTTTCAGATTTCAAGTATAAAAGGTAAGCAAGTCATCTTTACTGGCCGCAGACGTCTTTGTATAACAGATATGGTAAGTTAATAGACTTTCACTATTCGCCTTTTTAAAAGGATTACAAGGTCATGAAAGTTGAGAAGAAGAACATGTGGTGCTTTGTGTTTGTACAGGTTAGTGAATTGAACTGTGATCTCGAAGGCTCTGAAAAGCAAAACTCTGAATCATCTTCCTCACTTTTACCGTTGGCTGATGATGATATCATTGTTATTTCAGCAATTGCAAGTTCTTCTCAGACACTTTTTGTTTTGATTTGTTTCAGCAACCATTGATGTTTCAAACGTAAACATCAATATCATATCAGGGGATGATGACATGGGGTTGTGGTTGGAATGCTCATCGTTGTTCATCTTTTTGATTTGTTCAGGTTGATTTTTTTTTTAAGAACCAATAGTTAAGAGTCTTGCAATGGAGCATGAAAATGTTTGTGTTTCTTAATATTGTCTCTTGACTCATTTTTACTACTTAAAAATATTAAAAAAAGAATAAGAACCCTTAAATGAGGTTTTGGGATAATCATGTTCTTAAGCTCTTGCCTTCAATCTCGCACTTAGTGTACTCTTGTTTGGTACCAGATTTGAAGTTCGTCTTCCAACCTCTGATGTCCTGCTCTGTGAATTGAGTGTATGCGGTCTCTTACATTTTTGTCAAGTTGCTTTATTAGTGTTTCCACCACAATTGGTTCGTCACCATTTTTAGCACACCTCCAGACCCGGCACTGTACTACAGTCATATATACACAGGTGATTTATATACAAATGAAACTGGAAACAGTCCACACAAATCCTTGATCAAACCAAAAACGGCAATCAATATCAAACATGACATACATGTCGTTTACTTATTCCAATATCGAACTCTATGTTGTTTTGTCATTCAGAAAAACAAACACCCAATCTTTTTCTTCCAGCACAGTGAACTCACCAGTGGCTTCTAGAGAGGGACTGTGATTTAAATCAACACGCAAAGTCACATGACCCATTGACCGGTATTAAAAAAAAGTCAACGATCACTGTCTAAAACGTTAAATAACCACGTAAAGGAAACTCACGTTTAAGTAAACGTTTAACTAACGGGAGATAAGATCACATCGACCGTTGGATATAGATCTGGCGGCTATTACAACAATCAATACAGTCCGTCCGATCAGACAAATTGGGAGGCTTTTGTTCGGTCCTCCCCAACTTGGGTTCTGTCTTTTTTTTTTTCTCACGCGAAAAGCTCATATTTTATAAAATCGCCCGCGATTCGATCTCGACAGTTTCTGGTTTTGTTTCCCGCAATTCGATTCGAGAATCTAGGGTTTGTTGCTCAGTCTTCTTCTGCTTCGTGACGCGTTTGGTTTGATTCACGGATCTTTGGGGACGATTTTTGTTCTAGGGTTTCTATAAATGTTCCCCTTTTCGGTATAAAGGTTGATTCTTTCGTGGAGAGCTTGAACCTGAGGTTGATTGAGGTTTCAAATTTTCTGTCTTGGTTTGATTTGAAGTCAATTCCCGTGGAGGAGGGCTTGTGACTGATTCAGCTATTAGAAGCTGCTAATGGTAACATTTATTCTGTTTTTGGTTATGGGGTTTTGTTAAATTGAATGATTAGAGCTGGAACAAGAAGGTTTAATTTGATTTGGCATCAGCGTAGGTCTCCAAAAACTATATAAAGTGAAATTGGGTTTAGCTAAATCTGTGTATTTGTTTTTGCTTCGGACATGATTAATTCAAATGTTCAAGGAATCGCTAGGCCAGGCCGTGCCTAAAGTGATTATTGATTAGGTAGGCGCCTAGACCAAATCATTCTAGCAAAATTGTTTAGTTTAGGTTTGATTTGCCGTCTAAGCGCTGCCTAGACCGATTTTTAGAACACTGATTAATTCACATTGTTTGGATCTGGCTGTTTGTGTCATAACAAGTTTTTTGCCGCTGTCGTAATTTTGAGTAAATGTTGCAAATATTTGTAATCTTTATCTGTTGAAATGGGAATAGGAACTGTCAATGTGATTTTTTGAGGAGTAAGTATTAGTTTCTGTTGATATATGTGATGCAGGTCTCTTGCAAATTGTGAATTTTAGAAGCGAGGAAGGGTTATTTACATTTGTTGAAGTTCTTTCTTGCCAAAGCAATGGTTGAAAGTGCTGCGTTCCCAGGAGGGTATTATCGGAATACTTTCGATGCGCCTGATGAATCAGAGGGCTCTGGAAGCTCTGCTCAGATTGATACCGAGGTCACTGCATCTGAGAACTCAACCACTCCTGCACGAAAGTGTGTTAAGTTGAATTCTGATGATGAAGATCCTTACGGTGTCCAGAGACAGGTCATTTCTTTGTATAACATGTCACAATCCGAGAGGAAAGATCTGATTCGTCGTCTCAAACTGGAACTAGAGCAGACAAAGATAGTTCTTAAGAACGCTGAGTTGCAGAGGTTGAACACACCCTCTGTGTCGTCTACTAGCGCAAGGGCGGGTTTCAACTCTGCTCAAAAGCTATCATCTTCGAAGAGGCCATCTGATTTTGCAATGGGACCGGGAAAGAATGTGACGGCTTCTCGTGGATGGAACCGTGGCTCCTCGGGGAAGTTTGCTTCGTCTTCCTCGAAAGAGTCTACTCCTAGCGTTACTAACGTGACACTGATGAAGCAATGTGACACGCTGCTGAAAAAGCTCTGGTCTCATCCGCATTCTTGGGTTTTTCAGGCGCCAGTTGATGTGGTGAAGCTTAACATACCTGACTATCTCACTATCATCAAGCGTCCCATGGACTTAGGGACGATAAAAAAGAACTTAGCCTCTGGTGTGTACTCAAGCCCACATGAGTTTGCTGCTGATGTGAGGCTTACATTTGCAAACGCGATGACGTATAACCCTCCGGGACATGATGTTCACATTATGGGTGATATACTAAGTAAACTGTTTGAAGCGCGTTGGAAAGCAATTGAAAAGAAATTACCAGTGCAAACGTTGCCTGCAGTCACATTGGAACCTCGTGAGGAGAAGAGAACTGCTGTAAGTGTTCCTCCGGCGAAGAAGAGAAAGATGGTTTCACCTGTTAGAGAGAGTGTCCCTGAACCAGTGAAGCCGATTATGACAGCAGAGGAGAGGCATAGATTGGGGAGACAACTCGAGTCATTGCTGGAGGAGCTTCCTGGACAGATCATTGACTTCTTGAAGAAACACAGTTCAAATGGAGGAGAAGTTGCGGAAGATGAGATCGAGATAGACATTGATGTTCTTAGTGATGAAGTGCTGTTCGGTCTTAAAAAGCTTCTGGATGATTATATCCAAGATAAAGAAGCGATGCAGCCGAATGTTGAACCATGTGAAATAGAGGTAATTGTCATCACCTGCTGGAGCAAATTTTTAAACTCAAATTTACTGAGAAGTGTCATCGATTTTTTTTTTGTTGCAGCTTCCCAATGGATCAGGACCGAGCAATTCGGTGCTGCAACGAGGTGAAACTTATAGTCTGTGTACAAATTAATGTTCTGTGATCTCTGTATCCGCCATTTTTCTTACCTTGGCTTTGCTTCTGTGTTCCTTTCTAGGGAATGAGATGGCTGATGAGTATGTCGGTGGAAACGAACCTCCTATCTCAAGGAGCTCCAGTGGTTAGTCGCAATCCATATAGAATTCTCAACTCCTTCAGAACACTTGCTTGTTCTATATTGGATCTCAATAGATTCTGTGATGGTTGTGGATAGACAGTTTAATTGACAAATTTTTGTAGGACCTAGAATCTCTTTTTGCATGAAATAGGCAGTCTTGGTAGGTTTCTGTAGCATCAGTTGTTTATAACAAGTTCTGTGTGTTACTGAATTGGGTGTTGCTTTACAGATTCTGAGTCTGGGAGCTCTGAAGATCAATCTGATGACGCTAAACCCATGATCCAAGAGGGTGCTTCCAAGGTATAATTTACAATGTTAGCTTTTCGAGGTGTGTAGTTTTTCATGAATCTAAACCACGCAACGTTAAACTTTCCAGATACCTGAATCTACAAATTCTGAGGCTCAAAGAGATGAAGATACGAGGATTGATGATGGAAGTGGTGAGTATTTAAAATCATTTGAAATCATAAGCTTGAGGATTGCTCTGTGTTACTCAGCTTCCTGTAGTTCTTTCTTTCATGAGTTATCATATCATATATTACTCTGCTGGAACAACTATAGTTAACTGCGGAAAAATGTAATAGATGTTGGTGATTGCGGTAATTACTGTCAAATAGTTTTTCTTATGGATACATATATTACAGAAACTAATGGTGCTCCGGAGCAAATGGATTTTTCATCTCAGCAAAAGCCTAGTTCTGATGAAACAGATGGTCAGCCTGATGGTGAGATGCGGAGAAAAAGAGGTTATTTTAGTTGAGTCATGAAGTGAGTATCTCACAGCTTTAATGCTTCAGGAAATACATTGGAGAATCCGGCTTCATCTGAGAAGAAATATAGAGCTGCTCTGTTGAAGAACAAGTTTGCAGATATCATTCTAAAAGCACGCGAGAAAACACTACCACATGTCTGTCTACTTGTCCTTAGCCTGATCTTTATTTGACTTGAAGTGGTGACTGGGAACTAATATGGCTTACATATGATCTTTGCATGAGAGCAGAATAGTAATAAGGGTGACCCGGAAAAGCTTCGCAAGGAAAGAGAAGAACTCGAATTGCAGAAGAAGAAAGGTTGTTTATATATACAGACAACCCAAATTTATTAAATTTTTGTTCGACTCACAGAGAACATGTATTTAGTTTTATGTCCTGAAACAATCTGTTTATGTTGTTGCCAGAGAGAGCACGGCTACAAGCTGAGGCAGAGGCAGCTGAAGATGCTCGTCGCCAAGCTGAAGCAGAGGCCGCTGCAGAAGCTGCTGCTGAGTCTAAGCGGCAGAGAGAAGTTGAAAGAGAAGCCGCTCGCCAAGCTTTATTGAAGGTACATAGCAAACCAGGACCACAATCTCTGAGAACAATCAAGAAAATGTATTACCACATGTTTTGACTTTGGTGCAGATGGAGAAAACTGTAGAGATCAATGAGAACTCGCGGTTCCTCGAGGACCTAGAGATGCTGAGATCAAGTGCGCCTGAGCAATTACTTAGCTCAGTAGATGAAATCAGCCCAGAGAGAACTTTAGACGCCCTTGGAAGTTTCAACCTGGGAGGCATGAACCCTCTTGAGCAACTCGGACTGTACATGAAGCAAGATGATGATGAAGATGAGCCCGAGGCTCCAACTGTTCCAAAGCTAGCCACAGACGTGGAAGAAGGAGAAATCGATTGAAAAAAGTTAAGTGTAAACCTGTATGAAACAGTAGACAGGGCTGTTACACGTACACATGCACACAAGAGAAAAGGTCCATTCTATGGTCATTGACATTGTATTATGAGCTATTGAATGCTCCTCTCTTAAAGACAAGTGTGGTGTGTGAATTTGTAAAAACACGAAGCAAGCGATTAAAACTTCATAGAGGAGTACTTAGTGTATGATATTAAAAAGGAAAAAAAGAAAAGAAAAGCAAGACCATTGTTTCTGTAAGAATCTTATGTTGTTTCATTTTTTATAGTCTTCTAGATGACTCCTTTTGAGGTGATCAGTAGTGAGCTTTGACTAATGATCTGCCAGACTGTTACTCTAGTCTTAACCATTTAATCTACAAGGTTGAGTCTTCTATAATGTGGGTATGAAACTACCCAGGGATCAGCATAATTTACGTTGGTTAGAAGGTGAGTTGACAAAACAAAAAACAAAAAAATGGAGTTAGAAGATGATTTTGCCTTCCTCGTCAACCAAATAAAAAATGTAATTATGAAGCATGTAACAATTCAAATATATCTCAAAGCATGTAGCAATTGTTCTAGACAACACGATTTTCCTCAATAAGACACTATTATTAACAAAACCTAGGCATGTTAACAATACTAATTAGTTACATAACGAATTTTTTACAATGTGTTAAATTAAGAAAATATGAACGAAAACGCACTTTGTTTACTTTGATCATCGCAGTAAATTAAATTTGATTATTTTGGTCATTTGAGTTGTGTTTTCTATGTATTTTGTTTGGATCCCAAGTAAAATTTCTGGAAGCCTATTGGGCCTCTTCACGGGCCTTTAAAACAGTCGGTTTATATATTGGCCCTATTAAAGTAAAACCCTCCTCACATCAATAAACAAATCATAAACCCTTCCCAAACCCTTTCGTCTCTCCCTCATTTCTTACTCTTTTTTTTTTCTTGGGGAACAAGATGGGAAGTCAAGCAGCAGTTTCCTTCCTAACAAACTTAGCCAAAGTAGCGTTCGGTCTCGGAACAGCGGCGACGGCACTATCCTCATCTCTCTACACTGTCGATGGCGGAGAGAGAGCTGTTCTCTTCGATCGGTTCCGAGGAGTGTTGGATCAAACCGTCGGCGAAGGAACTCACTTTCTGATACCCATTCTCCAGAGGCCTCACGTCTTCGATATCCGCACAAAGCCACACACTTTCTCGTCTGTTTCCGGTACTAAGGATCTCCAGATGGTTAATCTCACTCTTCGTGTTCTGTCTCGCCCCGAGGTAATGTGGTGTCTTTCTCTCTCCCTTTGTCTCGTGTTTTTCGATTTAGGGTTTAGTTACCCTTTTGTGTTAGTTGAAGATTTCATTTTGATTCAAGATCTAGGGTTTATGATTAATCTGATTTCGTATATGAACGTCACTCTTGTATAGTAGATTTTGATGTGAGAATCGTTATAAAGCTTAAAGCTTTTGATTTCGTGGGTGATTTAGGGTTTACCCTTTATTTAGGGTTTAGGTAAATTGATTTACATACTTTATTGTAGACATTGATGAAATGCCACTCTTGTATAGTAGGTTTTGGAGTGAGAATCATTATAAAGGTTAAAGCTTTTGATTTCATGGGTAATTTAGGGTTTAGGATAAATCGTGTTTCATGCTTTATCGAGTATATTGATGAATGCCACTCTTGTATAGTAGTTTTTGGTCTGGGAATCATTATAAAGCATCATTTTTTTACTCTGTATAGCTTAGTTTGTCATCTTATGCTCTGTTCTTTCATTTGGGTTTTGGGAAAAATTGACCTTTTTTTTTGGTTATTTGATTTCATGGATAATTTAGGGTTTAGGATAAATCCTATTTCATACTTTAGTTAGGGTTTAGATGTACTTTTGAATGCCACTCTTGTATAGTGGCTTTTTGGTGTGAGAATCATTATAAAGGTTCTATTTTTAGTCTGTTTAGCCAAGTTTTATCATTTATGCTCTGTTCATTCATTTGGGTTTTGGAAAAGTTTTAAACTTTGTTGATTTGGTTATTTGATGGTGAAGGTGTCGCGTCTTCCTACCATTTTTCAAACATTGGGTCTCGAGTATGATGACAAGGTTCTTCCTTCGATTGGAAATGAGGTCTTGAAGGCTGTGGTTGCTCAGTTCAATGCTGATCAGCTCCTCACCGAGCGTCCTCAAGTGTCAGCACTTGTGCGTGACTCTCTTATTAAGAGAGCTAAGGACTTCAACATTGAGCTCGACGATGTCGCCATCACGCATTTGTCATACGGTATGGAGTTCTCGAGGGCAGTGGAGGCGAAGCAAGTGGCTCAGCAGGAAGCAGAGAGGTCCAAGTTTGTGGTGATGAAGGCTGATCAGGAGAGGAGAGCTGCGGTTATTAGAGCTGAAGGTGAGAGTGAAGCTGCTCAGTTGATTTCTGATGCAACTGCTAAAGCAGGGATGGGACTGATCGAGCTCAGGAGGATTGAGGCTTCAAGGGAGGTTGCAGCTACACTGGCTAGGTCTCCGAACGTTGCCTACTTACCCGGTGGACAAAGCATGCTCTTTAACCTGAACGCTGGTCGTTGATCAAGCAATTGGTATGCATTATTTAGACTCTTTACTCCTTTGAATAGTAAATGATAATGGATTAGGAGTGGAAACCCCCTTACGGACTTTAGAGTTTTTTTTCGGTTTGGTGTTGAAGAAATCTATAGCGAACTAGAGGAAGCATAAGAAAACTTGAAAAGCATGGTTAAGTTTAGATTATCTATAATTATATAATACTTTTGGTATGGATATAAAGTAAAATTTTGTAATCTGCCATGAGTTGTAGTTTATTCAGTTGAGTTGAACTTAGTTCTATTATGGTTTGGTAAGAACACTGTTTAGGTTTTCATGACAAAGTTCGGTTTTTGGTTTGGTATTTATGTGTCTTCCTTTATCTTCCAGGTTTATTTCAGGATTTGTTTGTGTAGATAACTTCTTTGGCTTTGATGTATTTGCAGGGAGAGGAGAGCGCAAGTGAAATAGAACATCTTTAAGTTGCTATATTGAGCCTTTTAGGTTATTTCTGTTTTGAATCTTAGGCAAAGTTTTTTCTTATAACACTGTTACCTCTATCCTCCCCTTCCTATGGATTTATTCGGCTTTTTTTTCTCTCTTAACAATGAAGCATAATCAATTAATAATTGAGAGAGCCATCACATGTAACTTGGCCAATGATTTTGTTTGTCTCTCGCAAAAAATTCAACATTCAAATGAAATTTTCTGTTAACGGATTTGAGTCAAGCGTATATGGCAAATACAGTCTGAGCCTCATTTGTTCAATTCTTCCTTGTACATTAATTATGTATATGTATATAAGTTTCAAATTAGATGTCGTTTTAGAGTAAAATTTCTGTTTCAGAATAAGTGTTATTTTATAATTTTAATGTATTATTGATTTTAAATGTCATTCTATTTTTTCATTGGTTGATATGTGGTTAGGTGTATAGGTGAATGTGTTTTTATTTTGAAAATATACAAAATTAATTATTTTTAAATTTGTGTGTAAAAATCTAAAACGATGATTAAAATGAAACAGAAGGAGTATAAAAGTTGAAAATGTTTCTAATAAAACATTAATATTTTAAAATTTTATATATATTTTTAAAAAATGTGCGATAGAACTCTAGAGTAAATTAAAGACACTCAAAACTGATCAATAAGTGAAAATAACAAATTATTACGGTCATAAATTTTATAAACTGTGCAAATTTTCAAAAGATTTATTGCTTATGTTCTCACAACTTCAAACCAATAGCACTTTTATGTTTCTTTCCTAAAATTATATATCTCATTGTATCATTTAATTTCTTATTATTATTTATATCCTATCTTTTCTAAAAAATTTACTCTCCCGCAAACGCCGTATCTCCAATAATGCTCTATAATTTTCACTCTAAAATAGTGTAACTCTATTATAGAGTTAGATTTGTTCCAATGGTTTACTCTATAATAGAGTGAAAAAGCAACATTCCTCTATATCTCACTCTATTATAGTGTTAACTCTATTATAGATTAAACCATTGGAGCAAATCCAACTCTATTATAAAGTTACACTATTTTAGAGTGAGATATAAAGAAAATTATAGAAGACCATTGGAGATGGTCTAATCACAAACGTTAGTTGAAACAAGCTTTTAAATTTTAGAGGTTTAGAACGATTTAAAACGATTTATAGAGTTTTCTGTAATTGTTACAAAACGCCATCAACCGCTACTAATCGCAAAAGCTGCGTAAACCGCTACTAATCACAAAAACTGCGTTTACAGATGGTGGCGGGTAAACCAGTCGAGCCCTTACAATATGGACCTTTACCATTTGAAAGTTTTGATGGGTTCACCACATCTGATTGGTTGTTGACCAAACTAATAAAGACATGTTTGATATGTCATATGTCATTAACATTAGTATTAGTTCAATACTTTCTATAACTAATTAGGACAAAAGAAATCATTTACTCATCTTCAAAAAATGATCTGTTTCTTTGAAAGGAGATCAATGTTCCTTTTGAGATGTGGTTAAACAGTCCATCAATCTCGTGCTTTTTATCTCATAAGTGATCTGTGCATAGTGAATGGAACCTTATTTTTATCTCTGCAGTTATTATAGTCTATCTGAACTAATTCGTGCCTTACTCTTGCAAGAGCTTGAAAAGAGTGATTGTGCAGCCTTCCGTAGCAATTTTTCAGTGGGGATGACAGACTTTTGTGTTCACTACACAGCCATGATTTTAGTGAAAGTTTCTAAACTATATTCAACAAAGCCTCTTTTATGCTTAGAATAAAACAAAGACAACCAAATAAAAAAAAACAGAAACATAAACATTGTCCTAGTGAAGATCACTAGTATACAGAAGACGAACTTAGGTGTTCACCAGGATATTTTTATTCAGCAAGAAAAAAAGAAGAAGAGAAGCTCTTATTTTGTGTATACTCATCATAATTATCTCCTTGATCATACAATTTACAGCGTAGGGGGGATCCACATGTAGCCATGGGTCTGCAGATAACCAGCTTTCTCTAGCAGCTGATCTGCTTCTGTTGGTCCTCGGCTTCCTACTGTGTACGGGATCGATTTCACTTCTCCCTTCTCTATCCTGTGAAGCAGCGGAGTGAAGATTTCCCAAGCTGCCTGTTTAGTAATTGATCACAAAACATGTACATGTCTTAAGATCCTCTCAAATGGGGCAAAAAACATCAAGAACTGACAACAAGTTTGGTTATAATCAGACTTTTGGTAGTTAGAAATCATGTCAAGTTACTTTTCGTTTCTAATGTAACAAGAGATTTTGAGAAAGAAAGAGTAAGTGGCGAAGGAGAAAGGAAAATAACCTTCAATTCGTCTCTGCGAACAAAGTGTTGTTGGTCACCTTTGATTCTGCAGAGAGAATCATAATATGCAATGGGATGAATAAATGTTTTTGACATACAGAACTATTGGGTAGTATATGATTTAGATTCATACGTGTCAAGGATTAGGCGCTCGTACGCCTCTGGAATAGAGACATTTTGGTAACGTTGCTTATACGATAAGTCTAGTTCACTCTGCACGGTTTGCATCTCCAGACCTGGTTTCTTCACCTGCCCAACAGAGACAAACCAATTCATGTTTTGATAATTGATAAACTAACAAAGGTTAATGGAAAGCACGCATTTGACGTTCATAGATAGGTTGCGTCAAATATATAGCTTATGAACAAAACTGAATCTCCTTTTTAACATTTTTATATTATAGTAAATTGTGGTTGGTTCAACAGGAACTTACAGTTAGCTTCATGTACATGGCCTCTGAAGGTTGCAAGCGTATAACAAACTCGTTCCTCCCTTGCTTTTGACCTGTTGCATTGCATGAGTATCATAACATACATATGATATATGTGAAGGTTCAGTTTGGTTTTGATACATACATTTGAAAATGTCACCAGGAACATCCTTAAACTGGATACGAATATCTGCCTTCTTTGAACCCATTGCCGTTCCGGCCTTCAGTATAAATGGAACACCTGAATGATAAATTAATACACAAGTCACTAACCAGGAATTTGACATCACTAAATGGCCAGTATACTTTGAGCTAATGTCTGTACTGATGCAAGATGATACATCATGATTTTAGATTCGAAAGCGATATTTAAAAGACAATATAACATGAATTGAACTAGTGTGTAATCTTGATTCATTTCTCTCTAATCATGTCGTCTTTTAGATGATCTTCCAAACTTGACCAAGAAAAGGAAAAGATGAAGAGTAAACGGGGACACATTACCTTCCCATCTTTCGTTGTCTATGCGAAGAATTGTTGTGGCAAACGTTGGAGTGTTTGAGTCGTTTGGAACAGTTGGATCATCTCTATAACCTTCGTATTGTCCAAGAACCACCTCTTCATCCTTTATGGGTATCACTGATTGAAGAACCTGAAGCTCATTTTGAAAATCCAGTCAATTCGTATTAAAATAGCCAAATATGCAAATGAAGAGTTCATTTGATCCCGTGGGACCAAAAGTAACCTCCTACATAAGTTCGGCAATGAAAATTTGACTTTACGGAATAGAAAAGTTAAAAGCGATATGATTTTAAAGAGAGAGAGCACAGTGAAATGACTAAAAATATGATCAAGAATATCATAATCACCTTCACTTTCTCATCCCGGATGTGCTCAGGTTTAAGAGAGACTGGTTTCTCCATGGCAACAAGGCAAAGAACCTGCAGTACACTAAACAGAGTTATTATACGAAAGCATCTGAAGTTACAAAAGGAACTCCAAGGAAGACAGTCAAATGGAAGTGGCTTTCAACCAACACTTGCCTGGAGCAAATGGTTTTGAATAATATCACGAATGATTCTGAAATGGAAAGTTGCACAATTCATTAGAAATGCATTGCATCATGTACATCATATTCAAGGAAATGCTGAAAAAAATTACCCATATTCATCAAAGTATCCCCCACGGCCTTCAGTTCCAAAATCTTCCCTGAAAACAATCTGCAAAAAGCAATTAGATTTCTGTGGACTAAACTCTTAACAAAGGTTTGGAACTTTTCTTTGTTAAGCGATCAAGCTCTTACCTGAACGTTAGCAATATTGTCACGGTTCCATAGTGGCAAAAAGAATCGATTGGCAAACCGGAGGACCAACTGCAAATGATGCATGCGTAAGACAATAAATGCCTGTCTGAAAAATTATACTATTGACTACTTACAAACAGGTGTTACCATGTTTTGGACTAATTCTTTCCCAAGATAGTGATCAATACGATAAATCTGTGATTCATCAAACAGTTCTCCAATCTGGGAACTCAGTTGCTCTGCAGATTCCAAGTCCTTTCCAAATGGCTTCTCAACAACGATCCGTGTCCATCCACCAACATCAGCTGAAAGATTTTTTTATATTCCAAATCAAAGTTAAATACAGTTTTAGTCTTTTGTGTCTAAATATGTTGATCAGCTTAACAGTAACTACTCACATTTGTTAGTGCAACATGCCTTGATCATCTTGCATACAGGAGGGTATACGGACGGTGGGAGTGCAAGATAAAACAATCTCCTGGAAGATCCTTCAGAACTCTTTTTAGAGATTTCATGCTCTGAAATTGCCTTGTCTAACCTTTTGAAACCGTCCTCGGAATCATAAGGGCCACTCACATACTTGATCTATAAAGTTTAAAACCCGAAACTGTACGGTTCAGTAACCAAAAATAAGAGACTGCAACTGTATGATCAATCAACTATGGACTAACCAGCTGCAGAAACTTGGACAAAGCTTCTGCTTTCTCAGATGCATTCTTCTCAGCAACAAGATATCTACATAACATAAGCTTTTTCATTGACTCAGAGATCTATCAAATACTACAAAACAGAAATGGTGTATTAACTAACTAACTAACCGACGGATCTTATCTCTAAGCTCCTGGTCAGAAATCTTAGTCCTTGCATATCCAAAGATGTGAACTTCATCTGGATTAAGTAACCCCTGCTCATCATGTAAACCAAAACCCATTTAAAAAAAAAAAAACAAGTTGCTTTGAGAAAATAAAGAAAGTGAAGATTAAAACCTGGTGATAGAGATTGAAAAGAGCAGGAAAAGTCTTCTTCTTGGCAAGATCACCAGAGGCACCGAGCACGATGATGGAGAGGCTCCCGGTCTCAGAGACGGGGCCATACTCTTTCAAAAACGATTCGTTCCTCAAAGTGGACCTCTTCTCAACGTGCCACTGGCCAGAACCCATCTTCCACTATCGAAACTTGACACTCTCACGAGTGCAGATACCACACAGATAGAAGAACAACACACGAGCCTCTGCAAAACTGAGACAAGTTCAGTTGAAAAGAAAAGAGGACAAAAGAGACAAGTGTCTAGAAGAGTTTGTCTGTGGAATCGAAATAGTCGTTCCCTGCTATCAAATTACGAACATGAATCAAACACTTTTGAAAGATAAATCTCTTAACGTTGTAGCAAACGTGAAAAAAAAAAGTCAAAATAAAAAACGGATAAGGGTGAGCGAATAGGTTGGAGTTTGTTGAGAGCCACACAGAGAGAACCAAACGGAATCAAATAATAAAGCACAGAACAACAACAAGAAGAAACACAGAAGCGATCTACTCAACCTGCGACGGAAGACGTTAGCTGCCGGCGCGAGAAGAAGGAGGGAGGCTAAATAACTCCAACGTTGGAGAATTTAATGTCTTAACGGAGGAGAGACTGTTGTATTGAGTTTTGATAGTTCGTTCGTACGTTCTGTATATAATAAGATTAGTTAATAAGGGAATCGTTGTTTAGTGAAAAACAAAGATAAACTACGTAAAACCACCAAGGGAATAATTATATATATTTAATTAAACGGAAAGAATAATGATTTTTTGAGAATCGAGAGCGGTAGTGGTTGAGCTTACGCATTCCATGATCCATGCCTGTAATAGATAAGTCAACAAACAAATGATGAAATGTGAGACATCATCGTTTGATCCGCATTTCGATCGGTATAGATTTTGCTTCCCATCAATTATATCATGTATTTATATTCGGTTTAAACTTTAAACCAACCTTGAATATCCTATGACTTTTGATTGATGCCATAGTTGATGCCATTCTAGTTTCTACTTTAGCACGAGACATGAAAAAAAGTAGAAGAAATTCTATATCAATTATGGATGAGAACATCACTTTTAGGCCTAATGCCAATCCAAACGAGGCGAGCGTTTTAAACCCATACGGTCATAGACCATTACCAACGTAATACGATTGTAACTGTGACACTAACACAATGGGACTGTCACGTTTCAATTTAACATGCTTTTCTTTTTCCTCTGTATCAACGATGTTAAATCACATTTTAAACCACTTAGGCTTTGTGCTCTTCTTCTCCGCTGGTTTAGACTCTTGGTCAACTGGTACAGTACCAGTATCAGCTGGCTCTGAAGATGGCTCAACCGGTTCCTCTGCTTTGGTTATGACCTCTACATCTTTCAGGGTCAAGATCTCTTCATTAAGGTAAGGAGTTGGAGTAGCACCATCATCTGCAATTGTGTTTTTTAAAGATAAGTTCAGAACTCAAGTTCTCTTCCTAACGATTAACGAACTCTTTTCAAAGTAGTAAATAAAGCTCAATTCGGCCCAGAAGATTATAGACCAACATAGAATCTATCTAATACACTCAACTTAACCAACCTTTTAAGATTCTTGTCCACTATGTATTCATCGTGATCCTTAGTTTCTGGTCGACTTAATTCTATACTAGGTTTGCAACTATTTTGAACATTCCACTTGGATAGTTTTCGCTTTCCCACACAAATCTCACTTGTATGCAAATACATATTGCAATGCAATACAAGTTTCCAAGACACAAGAAGACCTCTATAGTAGCATGTGGTGACACTGACAGAAACTAACCTTTTTGTTGATCGTTTGCAAAGTAGACAATAGCTCCAGGAACGAACCCAGCAGAGTAGAAGTCTTGTGAGAAATCTTTGATCTGCTTCTTTGGAGGAGTTGTGTCTGCAAAAAGTAAATAACACGTTGTAAGACCTCTTCTTCTATATACGTTGAGAATTGTAAGATTTGAGATATGAGTAGTGGAAACATACACAAGTAGAAGGGAATCTCAGGCTGCGCAAGTGCTCTTTTGACAAGATCAATCAAGCATTGGATCTTTTCCGAAGGATGAAATGTCGCCTCCAACGTGTGATTATCAGGAAAACGAACCCGGATCACGGCCTAGTTACAACCAAATTTACATATGTACAGTAAGTTAAAACTAGTTTAAAACCAGGAAACAAGATAAAAAAAAAACGTTTTAGAAAGTGAATAAGAACCTTAGTCATCTTAGCTCTACGAGCAGCTTCTTCTGCTTCCCGGAGTTTTCTCGTCTTCAAAGACTTATCTTTTGCAGAATGCAAATTACAAGTAAAAAGGAATAAGCAACCAAGATAGTGATTCAAGTATACAAACTCATCAGATTCCTCAGAACGTCTTACCTTCTTTCTTAGATGCTACGAGTCGGTAGTAATCTGTGGGTGTGAGCTCGTAGAACTCATCAGATTCCTCTTCTGTCAAATACAATCACAAAACAAATACTAATTCAAATTAAGAGAAATACGAATGCAAAATACTAAAGATCCATCTCCGTCAAGTTACCAGCAACAGAAGCTTGACTTGGCCTCTGAGAAATGCTCGAAGTCTCGAAAACACGAATCTCTCTCCCATATTTCTCTCGTATCCCAGCGATCATAGCCTGATTTCACGAAATCAATCAAATCAAAACTTCTAAATCGATACAAGACGAGGAGAAACCCTTGCGAAGAAGTAACCGATAAGCTTAAAACGCGGACAGGGCAGTTAGGGATCGAGCAAGATTCGAAACGGAAGAAGAAAGCAAATGATGATAGTGAAGTGATACATACCTGAGATGAAGAAGATGAAGCTTCCATGGAATCGTTGATCGAGAGTCTTCTCCGCTTCAAAGTCAGTAGCGTTGGGTCATCAACTAACATCAGAGACTGGTTCGAGTTAATATTCTTTACTTGTTTACCCACCGCCTCTACACAAAAACCATCTCTCTGGAAAGGAGGAGGTTCATAGCTTTTAGGGGCTTATTAGTAAAATCATACTAACCTTTTAATTTTATTTACGGAAATTTATGACATCGGATCATTCTTTCAGAAGATTTCAATTTAACCCCTAAGTTTTGTTATTTATAGATAATCCCCTATATCGCTCTTGTTAGATCAAATTAAAAATATTTGATTATTTGCTACCTCTGTTCAAAGAATCGGCTGCATAGTCACCTATGCGACTCTCTTCTGTCCAGATTTATGCTAAATCGCTGTAGAAAATCGATCATCTGATTCTAGCCCATTTAAACCGTCTAGATGACCACCTAATCGCCCAATCTGTTTTTAATAATATTTTATTTATTTATTTGATTTAAAATTTAATAAATATAACTTATAGTTACAATTTGATGAAAATTATATCATATTAATTTTATATATTATATTTGTGTATTTTATAAAATTTTAAACATGAAAATGTATTAATATTATATATAACTAAAATTAATATATTTCATAACATATCAAATAATTTAAAAATTTGTCATATATAATTTCTATTTTTTTCTTTAGGCGCTAGATCCAATCGTATCACTCGATTAGCGCCTAGGGCGTTCCAGAACATGGTTTTGGCTGCTTACCTCGTTATTCATTTTTCTTGAAAAAGGTTTTATCTATGTTTTACATAATTTGCATGTTCTTATATCTGTATATCGGTTATTAGTTGGCAAACTTGGGCCTATAGTCCAAATACAGCCCACTAGTTAGAGTTTAACCCGACTCGTAATTAATTATCCGAACCCGGACCCGATTACCGTAGGATCTTCCTTTTATTACCTCTCCTCGATTTCAGTGAACGGATCTGACCTCCGTCGCACCGTACTTCGATCCCATCTAAACCGGCGGTTCAATTTTTCACCGGCACTCTCGTCCTTTCTCTCTCTCCATCTTCTTGACACGGTTAGTTCTCACTCACCATCTCTGAATCAAGCACTCACGGATTCTGAGCAAAAAAAAAATGGTTTATAACTTATCAATATTACTAAATCGAGCTCATGTGTTTTCTATTAATGGCGAGATCGTGCTATACAAATATTCCCTTTTTATACGCTTGATGGCTCCATGTGTTATATTATTACTTCTGCTACATTGCTATTACTATTTTAAGCTTCATTGCCTATTTACATTTGATTCCCTAATTTGAGCTTATTTTATTCTGTTGTTTCCTTTTTCATTTGATGTTCATGTTACTACTGCACATAGAAACTTTCCTGTATATTCACTTGTGTGCGTCAAGTCCACTGCATACTCATTTTAGTAGCTCTGTTTTCTCTCTCGTTTTAGTAATGTTTTGTTTAGTTCTCTGTTTTTTTCTTTCTTTCTTATGAATAATTTTGAATGTTTTTTTTCTTCTTAATCTGAATATAGCTGTGTGATTTTTTTTTAGAAAGGGACTTGGCATGCTTATAAGCAGATACATATAAAGAGTTGAAAATGCGTGGTGTAAGATTTGCTATGAGTAGTCATCAAGGCGTTCGACCAAGGCTGAGGATAGTTGGCGTTGTGATTTTAGCTGCTTTGATTGGGCTTGCGGCTTTGTTTGGTCTGTTAAAACCTATAAAGAATGGTTGTACTATGACTTACATGTATCCTACTTACATCCCTATCTCTGTGACGGACGGTGCAACTCCTCCTGGGAGATATGGACTCTATCTTTACCATGAAGGGTGGAGGAAGATTGATTTCAAGGAACACATTAGTAAACTTAGTGGAGTTCCAGTTCTTTTCATTCCGGGAAACGCCGGTAGCTACAAGCAGGTGAGTATCATCGTTTTCTTTCTTTAGTTTGTAACTAAAAATAACCCATTTATAGTAACTCAAGTGGTCCCACTATGGAAGCATTAGGTATTAGATATAAATTGTTTAGCGAATTTTTTAGCTAGCAGCTTTTCATGTGGTTGTGGAGCCAATTGTTTCCTGAACTCCGGAATAATGTGAAATGTGTTGCTTCCGTTGAGTATTTATCTCAGGTTTCATATACCAGGCTCCTTATAGGCCTTGTTTTCTTATGTTGTTCGTGCAGGTCAGGTCTGTGGCAGCAGAATCTGATAGAGCATACCAGGGAGGCCCATTTGAGCGCACATTCTACCAGGAAGCTTCTCTATTCCGTGGGGAAGGAGCAGATACGGAGTCTGTAGAATATGATTTGCCTAGTCAGTACAGTAACAGACTGGATTGGTTTGCTGTTGATCTTGAAGGTGAACATTCTGCAATGGATGGTCGCATACTTGAAGAGCACACTGAATATGTCGTATATGCCATTCATAGGGTAGGACTTTTGATAGTGTTTCTTCACTCTATTCATGACACGCTTAACTAGAAAATATAACCATGTTGTTTAGACTGTCAATTGCTGAGCGTAAGTATGTTGTCACATGGGGGAACTTCGTTTCACAAGTTTCATCAAGCAGATTTCTCTAAGATAACAGAACAGACTGTTCTAATTCTTGTTTCCTAGTGATTTTATCTTTTATTCATATCGTCTTTGTTTTATTCAGATCTTAGATCAATATAAGGAATCTCATGATACCAGAGAAAGAGAAGGTGCTGCTGCCTCCAGTAACTTACCTCGGAATGTAATATTGGTTGGCCACTCTATGGGTGGTTTTGTTGCCAGAGCTGCTGCAGTCCATCCTCGTTTGCGGAAATCAGCTGTGCAAACCATTCTAACACTCTCAAGTCCGCACCAGTAAGTTTTCTACATGCTTAACAAATTTTACTCGCCAAAGGACATGGTTTAGGTGTTTATGTATCTAATTTCCACCAGATCACCTCCTCTGGCATTGCAGCCATCCTTGGGGCATTACTTTGCTCGAGTGAACCAAGAATGGAAAAAAGGGTATGAAGTACAAACATCCCCTGGAGGAGGTTACGTAGCTGACCCATTACTTTCTGGAGTTGTTGTTGTATCCATTGCTGGTGGCTACAATGATTATCAGGTCTGAAAATTTCCACAACTATTTTGTTTTTTTGTCTGTTGCTTCCTCCGGTCTCTATGCCCTTGTGCTTTCTTTGATTCTATTTTAGTCCCTATGGGATGAGATTTGATTTCTTTCGTAAGGCTTAAGATTTTTCCTTTGGCCTTAGGTGCGATCAAAGTTAGAGTCACTTGATGGCATTGTCCCTGCAAGTCACGGCTTTATGATAAGTAGTACAAGCATGAAAAATGTGTGGCTGTCAATGGAACATCAAGCTATTCTGTGGTGTAACCAACTGGTTGTTCAAGTAGGTAAAAATTTCCTAATATGTTATCTGGAAAATGCCATTTTCAATGAATTTGAATATTCGTATTTCATGCAGGTTTCACATACGCTTCTTAGTTTGGTGGACTCAAAAACTAGTCAGCCGTTTTCTGATACTCAAAATAGGCTTTGGGTTTTGACCAAAATGCTTCAAAGTGCATTATCACAAAGCTTCAATGGAGTGACACCAATGAAAAACTCTAATCAGTTGCCCATTTTGGCCTCAAAGGGTATTAATACCATCTCTTCCCTAAACATCGCATATATTGTTTTCTCAGAATAGTTGTTCTTAAAGAAAGGAGTTAGATTTTGCATTGAAGTTATAAGCTTGTCTGGTCTTGAAGGCTATTAGCCTCTATCAAAATTTATTGTCAAGGAGCACAATTACTCATAGACAAAGCTGGAGGCATCTCATTGGTGGAACAAATTTTGAGGCAATTTGTAATTATGAGAACAATGTTCAGTAGGTGACATGTCTTGGGCTGACATGTTATTCTTTTGCACGACCATAATATTGTGCTGTCTATCTTTGTAGGCTCTGAATCATCATGTCCCATGGATTGGAGGGATGATGCTCTCGATAGGGATCTGTACATACAAACAAGTACTGTTACAATTTTGGCAATGGACGGGAGAAGGCGTTGGTTGGACATAGAATTGTTGGTCTGTGCAGATAGAATTCAGTTAGTGATGCTATTATAGATTTGGTGTACCGCTTAAGATGTCTGTATTGATATCCCATGACATATCTTCTGTACTATAGGGATCCAATGGAAAGAACCACTTTATCTTTGTTACAAATTTGGCGCCTTGTTCTGGAGTAAGACTCCATCTATGGCCTGAGAAGGAGAAATCAAATTCAAATTTACCGGTTTGTGAAAGGGTTCTCGAAGTTACGTCAAAGATGGTTCTCATTCCAGCAGGCCCTGCACCAAAACAGGTGATATATACTATATTCTCATATGCCAAAGTAATTTGATGGGATCAGTTACAACAATGCTGGATCTGTTCCAGTAGCACACACTCGACATTTGTTTCCTATGCGCCCATTGTTCTCACGTTTTCAGAGGAAAAAAAATACTAGATTAGCATTTTCATTAACTTGCTCTTCCTTTGTTTGTTAGTCGGAGCCAGGGAGTCAAACCGAGCAAGCTCCCCCATCTGCAATGCTGAAGCTAGAGCCTGAAGACATGCGCGGATTCAGATTCTTGACTATCTCAGTTGCGCCTCGCGAAGTAATTACTCACATCTATACCTTTACTTTCGTTCAAATTTTAGCAGTTTTCAGATGAATATAAGCGTGTAACTAAAATGAGACCTTCTATCCCACAGGCAGTATCCGGTAGACCTCCTGTGGCGGTTTCTATGGCAGTGGGGCAGTTCTTTAACCCAAAAGAAGGGGCCATGGAGGTCTCATCTCAATCAATGCTCGTATCCGCTTACTGGGCAAAGGTTTTCATTCTTAAAAGTGGCCACACTCTTCCTTTGCATCTTCAGTGTTTTGAAATGACGCTAGTGAAACATTTGATTTACTGATTTCAGCTGTGGACTAATTTTCTGCAGGAAATATTTCTGAAGGAGGAGCATCCTTTAGTTTACAATATATCGTTTGCCATCAGCTTAGGTCTAGTGCCCATAACACTGTCCCTGAAAACTGCTGGATGTGGAATTAAAACTTCTGGTCTACCAGATGGCGAGACAGGAGACTTGGACAAGGATAGTAAGCATTCAAAATTCTCTCTTCAATTCATGAGATATTTCTTTTGGTAGTTACTTGATCATAGTTTTTGCTCTTAATTATCTGGTCACGCTCTTCCGTGATTTGCAGTTCTGTTGGATTAATGCCTTAGTCTTCAGTTTGTAAATTTATCAATATTGTCATCTCTCTTTCTTATTAAAAATATGATCTTTGTTAGCTCTTTTTAACTATTTCTCACCAGACATTGTTTACTTTTCAGAGCTTTGCAAATTGCGTTGCTTCCCACCTGTTGCCCTTGCCTGGGATTCTGCTTCTGGACTTCATGTGGTTCCAAACCTCTACAGTGAGACAATATTAGTTGATTCTTCACCAGCTCTCTGGAATTCTCAGAGTTCTGAGAAAACGTCTGTTATGCTACTGGTCAGAAGTCTCCTGCTCAAAGCTAATCTCTTTTAAACTCACTGAAACATAAAACTCAAATGTTTTTCCGTTTCATGGGGCTTCTGCAGGTTGACCCTCATTGCTCATACACCGCAAGCGTTCATGTATCTGCTCCCGCCATGTCCAGCAGATTTGTACTTCTCTATTATCCTCAGGTAGCTTTACATCTAATGCATCAGATGTTCACATTCATAATATATTAATTTGCATATTATAATAGCGTGCTGCATAATACTATCACTGAGCAGTGTGTGTGAGAGGTATTCATGGGCTTATCTCTCCGCAAGACTGCCTCTCTTAACTGGATAACCTATTGTTTTTTTTTGTGTGGTTACGAGGTAGCTCTATGATTTACGAGTGATTGAACCTTTCTTCACGTGACATCTGATATTGCAGATAGTTGGCTTCTCGTTTGCCGTTATATTGTATGCTCTTATGCGGCAAGCTAATCAGTGGGACCAAAACTTATCTGTGCTACCATTGCTCTCTGCTGTAGAGTACAACTTAGAAATGCCATCCCCATTTCTGATTCTAGCTGCGATACCTCTTCTGAGTTCGTTGTTCTTCTCCTTCCTAATGGATCAACCAATTCCTCCCCTCACAAGCTTCACAACGGTCTCGTTGATATGTTATTTGTTAGCCAATGCCTTCATCAGTGTGTTAATTGTTGTCTCCAAATTTTTCTTACAAGCGTTGGCCCTCGTCCACACCACTGTTAAATCTAGGTTAGTGCTTGGCTTTCATCAAATTTTTGGTTTGATGTAAAACTACTCAACTCTGTTCAAAAGTAACTGAGTTAGTGTCAATGCAGGTGCCAAGCTTTGGAAAGAAACTATTCTTTTGCCTTTCTTCGTTGGTTTTCTATGCTTGCTTCCAGTTTCCTCTGTTTAAAGGTTTGCTTTTTCGCTTATATTCTTTACCTAAAGCCGTAATCTTAATTGCATGCTTGAATTCAAAAGTCTTATCTCTCTCCGACCCCTTGATCAACATGAAAAACTTTTGCACTTGGTATTTTGTCTTGGCTAAGTTTTGTAATCAGAATGAGTTAGTGAGATTCTGTTTTCTTGATGCAGGCAATCCGAATTCTAAAGCTCAACACTACAATTGTAATGACACTAGTCGCAGTTACCTTGGTGACCTTTGTTCATCCGGCTTTGGGTCTTTTTGTACTCCTCGCCTCTCATGCCCTTTGCTGCCATAACTCAATGTGCTGGTGAGTTAACCGATAATGATTTTACCTGTAAAAGTAGCTGATGGTTGTTTTCATCTTTTGTTTCATGAAAGTATCATGATGGCATCGAAGAGAAAGGAGTCAGCCGATCATAAAAATGAAGCCGAGCGTAAAACTAGACATCCCTCAAGCAGACAAGAATCTTTATCAGTAGACTCGTCTGAAAAATCGTTTGTGGAGACGCAAGCAGACATCTTCAACCACATGCACGGCCTACTTATATTGCATCTCCTTGCGACTTTGATGTTTGTACCCTCTCTCGCCGCTTGGTTCCAGGTACTCTTTATATTCGGAAGCTGATTGACTCTAAGTCTACTAGTGAAAAAGTGGTTTTCTACTTGAGTGTTCTAATTAATTGACTAATTCTCTAATGGCATCTATCTGTATAGAGGATTGGAACGGGACAAAGCTTCCCTTGGTTTGCTGACTCTGCTCTCTGTGTTGGCGTTATCTTCCACGGAGTACTGAACTCGAGACCAGAGTCGAGCATCCTACGCTCTTTCCCATCTCTCTTGAGACACCAACTCGGTCCCCATCTCATGTATTTCCTTGCCGGATACTGCTGCTTCCTCTCTGGACTAGACTTGGCTCCATACAAAGTGTTCTACGCCATAGCTGCGTTAGGCTACATCTCCTTGACTCTTAAGCTCTCACAGGTGAACAAAAACGACCTTCGTTTCCGTACCAAAAGCACAATACACAGAAACTGAGTTTTGCAGTTGAATTATAGAAAGATTCAGCTCTCGAGTCGTGACCGCTCAACCCTAAACGCTCGAATGAAGCACCTAGATTTTTATTTTCAGTCGGTCAGGTTGGGTTGATTAGGGATTTTTAAATGAAGCCAGGAAAGTTTTGTTTGCGGTTTTCAAGCTTCTCCAAGGGGAGAGAGTACTAAATAAGAATTGGTTTGATTGAGTTTGTAGCGTTTTTATTTCACTTGTGTTTGTTGTTTTTTGTATGATTGTATCATCCCACCTTTATGTTTCAAGAGGTTTAATGTGATTTTATTCTAATTTCCAGGTTCATGAGTATGAATTTTTCATCTAAAGTGACAGTAAATTACTTCACATATCTCTTCTCCATTGAGAGAATCTCCATTAAAATGATCCATTAGATATATGAAAAACATTACATTTATTTTTTTGTCGAATCCTTCTGTCTGCCAGCTTGATCAAGAACGCGATTCTTCATTAGTTTTGTTGATCTTACTTCCACGTTAGTTTATTTAAATGGAGAAAAAACGAATAGTTGTCAACTTTCATTGTCTATTGAGAAATAGTTTGGAGGTTTTGAAAGCGACTCGTACACATGGTGGTGGGCAACGAAGGGAAAGTCAAAAGCCTATCTCGATCAAATTATCCATCAGAATTTTTATAGAAAAAGACAGAAATTGTATGATAAGTTGAAGATAAGACAAGGAAATAACATTTAACAACTTTTTATTTATTTTTTTTCAAACCAAAACGCGTCTAATATTAGAAATCCCATAACTTTTTTGTTCAAAAAAACATTTAACAACTTCTTAAACAGATATTCCAGTTTCTAATAAAAATAAACTTAAGTAGCTTCTAATATCTTTCTAAAATGACAATTCTAGTAACATCCGTGAAGATAATAATAATAAAAAAAAATCCAGTTTAAAGAAAAATCCAGTTTAAAACAATAATAATCTACTAAATAAATATATCTTCCATAGTTATATATACAGGTATGAACAGACTGAATTTCAATAGTGTGATAAGATAAACAACGACGCATCTCTCGGGTCTTCCAAAATTATTAATTTGTGACTTGTGTTGCCATTATGACGACATTCTCTACGTGCATCCTGGATCATTTCTCAATAAATGTTGTGTATCCATCTTTTTACTACAGACCATGCTTATTGTAATATAAACAAATAACTAATCTAAACGTAGAAAAAAACATATGAAGTATGTGATGCATGGATTTGCATTTCAGGTTTTGATATGTTATATATTTGTTGTTAATAAAGTAAACTTCATTATGGCGCGCGAGCTCTTGCAAAACTTTGTTTCCCACGGATTGCTATTCCCAGCCATTTTGGTTTTTGTTTGCTACTCTCATTACGACCACGACTCAATATTGTGGTATCAATTTGTTTGCGTTTGTGCTTACAGTTACTTTTTCAAGTTAAAAGTAATTCGAAGTTTTAATCATAACATCGGTCAATATATGTACTATATAACAAAATTAGCTTTTCTTCTCTTAAATGTAACCAGACATTGTTTTATTAAAACACTTTCAACACATAAAAGAAAGATTGAAACGTATTTAGAGAAGGGGGACAAGCGTGACAACAAAAGAAGAAGGATTCACAACACACAAGCATTAGAAACCGAGGTAAAGAGTTACGAACTCAGTAGAATAAACCAACGACCATGGCCACGGTGGCTGCAACCAAGCCGGTAAACATATCGGCAGCAACAAAGACGGCGGAGTTTGGTCTATTATTGGAGTTGGAGGAAGAACCAGGTGAGTGGTTGTGCCCATCATCGTCGTGGTGGTCATCACGATCATTGTGATCATTGTCATCTGCCAAGACCATCGCAATCATGGCCAACAGAAGACAAGCCACAGTGATCTGAACAAAAATCTTCTTCATCATGTTTGTCCAAAACGCTGCTAATTAAGGTTTTGATGAATTTGAGATAAGACTCGAATGTTTTTTTGTTGTGAAAATGAGTTCTTGACAGTTGGTTTATATAGAACTTTTTGTGTGGAGATTTTAGATTTTTAAACCCTAAAATTAATAAAGTTATATGAAATGCCCCTAAAACAAACGATACAAACGACACAAAGTTTTCATTGCCATCACGACGACATTCGAGATGTACAGGTGTCAGTAATGATATACTTCCTAAAAGATCAATATTCTAGTTTTTTTCACACTTTTTAATAAAACACAATAAATTTGTCTAGTTTTTGTATTTATATTTTTCTATAATTTTAAACCAATAAAAATCAATTAGTGCAATTAAGTTTTTTGAAGTTTACATTTAGTTAAAAAACATGCATTAAAAATGTAAAAAAATGAATCTTTTATAAACCAATTTTTTTTCCAGAATATGTATCTTTAAGGAACGGAGGGAATACTATTTCTCAAAAAAATATGTTTAACAAGTCAAACTTTGTTTTAAAACTTTAAAAATGTGTCATTAATAATGGAATAATGACTCTGGTGGCTTATTTAATCAGTCTCTACAAGGCAAATACTATTGTTGATACTCAGCTTGAAAGAATCAGTTCTAAGGTATTTCTGTCTTTTCCTTCAAACACATAACACAACAAATATGACTACTGACTTTCATGGTCTTTTTTTTTTCTTCCTAAAACTGCAGATGGTTGATGGATTCAATGATGATAAGAGAGTTCGTGTGGCTGCCGTGTCTTCATTGGGGAAGGTTGCCGTCCATGTCGAAGATGTTTTGAACCAAAGCAAAACAAATTCCAGTGATGTTGTTGTGAACCAGATCAAAACAAATGACAGTGATGTTGTGGTTAAAAGTGTTGGCTTCAAAGACCAAGGATTGGGATGTGACTTTAGTCACAAAGAATCAAGTTGAGAAGAAAAGAGATTAGTTGGCCAAGCTATCAAGGAAGAGTGAAGTGTTGAATAAAGGCCTAGCTAAGAAGAGCTAGTAAAAGTTGTTAAGAGTGGTTAGTAAAGTAAGGCTAAGTTGTAGTAGTGGTGTGTTTTAGTTAGAGAAAAACTACTATAAGTATGTATGTGTTGTTGTTAGAAAAAGACATAATTTTCTAATAAGGAAAGTCTTTGGAGAAAAGAAACAATGTAGACAACTAAAGATAATCTCTCTACAAGAACAAGAGGAGAGTAAAGAGAGTGTATGTGTGCTTGTGTTATGGTAAAACACAAGTAGAAACAAAGACTAAGTGTGAACAAAAACAGAGTTGAAGAGATTGAAGGCCAAGCCAAGAAGAGCCAAAATCACAACAATATAAGATATTTTTAAAACCTAAAATTATTTTACATTACATGAAATAGCCCTAATACAAACGACCCAAACTCTTTCTTAGATAAAATGCCAAAGTTTTCATTGCCATTATGAGGACATTCCATGTGCACGTTTGCCAGTTAATGATATAAAAAAAAAACAAGTCAAACATTTTTTAGAAAACCTAAACTATTTTGTATTTAGTCGAAACTGATTATATAAACAAAATTTCTCCACACAAAAGAAAGAAACTACAGAATTGCCACACAAAAAAAAATGTGGCATAGTCAAAAATATCAAAGGAAGGAAATATTCAAAAACTGACTAAATTGGCTTTATTAAGCTGTTTAATCTTTCAAGTCATCCTCATTTTGTAGCATTTTCCCATATCAAACGCTGTAATTTATTGTCCATGTATTTCTCCAACACCTGATCTCTAAGCCCAGTATCATTAACCTCGCAGAATCTCTCGGCCCAATCAGGTGGCTCAACGGGCCGTGTTCCCAAACCAGGCGCCCGATCTCTCGACCCGACATTCTCATCGTTCTGCCAATCCGCCACGTAAGTCGCGACTCTCCTATAAAACTTCTCCTTAAAAACCTCCCAAACCTGATATTTATAGTGATTAATCACCATAACCTCCTTATCCACGTCAGCAAACGTGAATCCATCTTTCAGGTGAAAATGATGCACAACGTTGATCAGCGTCGCGTTCATCGCCTCCGGCTTGAGTATGCTCTTGTGCCTCTCCGGTAAAATCACGCGGCAAGTGTACCCTTCCGTGACTCCACCGCGAGGCCGATTCGTCAACCCCGACGGTCCGAAGCTGTGGCACGGCGTTCTGATTTCTCCGATCTCGGCGGAGGAAGTGTAGTTTCTGATGATGCTCGTTAGTGTTTCGCCGGAGCGGATGTAGTAGAACTCGTCGACGTCGATGAACGCGATCCAATCGCAATCGTTCCTCGCGCGGATCGCGCAATTGGAGAATCCGGCTTCCTGAGTTTTGATCCACGGCCAGAAATGACGTGAGACGTTGTACCCGAGGCGCTCGAGATCGTTGATCTCCGCGATTATGTCGTCGTCACTGTTGTTATCGTAGATGAACCACCGCTGGATTCCGATTCCGGCGTGGTACATCACCCACTCTCTGAGAACCGCGGCTGCGTTTCGCGTCATGGTGCAAACGCACATCTCGAACGGTTTACGTCGCGGCGTGTTAATGATCCGATCCGGTTGAGCGATCGATGGAAGCATACCGGTTCCTCCTTTGATTCGAACCGAAACTTTAACAGGCCCATGGGCTGATTTTGGGCCGTTTAATACAGTTAATGGTGTTCTGCACCGTACGATCTCCTGCGCGGCCGAGATCACGTCCGATCTAATTAACCGATTGTGTTTCGCGAAATCCCAGCCGTACACGCACTCGTACCTCGACACGTCAGCAATTTTCCCCGGCTTTAAATTAAGTCCCTTGACGAAGACCACCGTGGAGTTATCGTGGTCGATCACGGCGTCGTAGACGAGCCAATCCCACTGGTGAGTGGGACCAGCGGGGAGGTGATCATCCATCGTCCATCTCGATATAGCAATCGATACGGTGTAGCCACGTGGCGTCTCGGGGCAACGTACGATCTGACCTCCGAATTTATCGCTATCCACGGCCTCCGGCTTCTCCTTCTTTATCGTCGACGACTCGGAAGAGAAAACGCAAATTAAATCCTCTTTGGTAAATAACCGAAGAGACCGAGGGTATTTTAGGAAAATCAGTGTCTGCTCAGGTAGTTTAACCGCTTCACGAATCGAAACCGCCGGAGACAGCGTTGCGGAATCGTCGAGAACCGCCCTTGCGTTTGAGAAGCTTCTCATCGAACGTACCACCGGACGAAACTTCCCTGCGAATTTTTAATATTAGTTTCTGATAAGTAAAATTTTAAAGAAACGTTTAAATCATAAATATACCTTTGAAGACGAACATGGTGGAGATGAGAACGAAGGAGAAGACAAAAAGCACGACGAACCAGAAAAACAACCTCCACGATACAACGACGTCGCTTCCACAGACACCACCACCGACCTTCCTACGAATTTTCATATCTTACGCCACCGAAATCGCCAGCGCTGGCCGTTTTAAGTAATTGTATAAGAAACTCTGTTCTATGTTTTTTTTTTCCGACAACAACAAAAAAGAAATTAAAGTCGCTTCTTCTTCTTCTCCTGCTTCTTGTCAGGCCCACGAGAATATAGATTGATGATTAGCAGAAGAATAGAATTTTGTTACTTCTTTATTTTTCTTTCGAAATGTTTATTTTCAGTTTAAAAGAAAAAGGAAAATAAGGTATGTTGCTCGAAGAATATGAAGGGGAAGTCGCGAAACTTGGAGAACGAGAAAAGAAGACGACTCACTAAAACTAATGGTCTCTGGTCAATTGCTTTTTTAAGGAAATGAATTTACTTTCGTCTACGGTTTGTATTTCTTTTACTACTTCACTTTCTTTAACGTTGCGTTTCAGATAATTTCTTTTAATACTTCTCGTCAGGTGATTAACGAAATTACTTGATTAGTTATTAATTCATATATTTTTGATTCACTTACAGTGGGAAACACATATTTTACAGCTTTCAAATTATATCTGAAGATACCTTGCGTATTATATCTTTGCAGTTTTTGAAACTTTTAAAAAAGGAAATTATTCCCGTTTTGATTTTTCCGACTGAAGCATGATCGTGTTTAGGTAGTACTCAACTCTCTTATCTTTATCTTTGACTAAAGCTCGACCAGTATTTGTGGACGAACTGGGTCCCAATCGTCACTTAGTTAACTCATACGATGTCGTTTAAGTATTTATAAAAAATAGATACAATTGAGCCCAAAGGGCCTTTAATTGGGCTCATAAAGTACGGTTAAGGCTTTTAGCAGCGTGAGATGACTCTTGTCGTCTCCGGGAACAAAAATGTTTGCGACTACGAGATTGATTTGCCGGCGAATCCATGGCACAAGTGATGTCACTATTCCAAAGCTTTCAGGATTCTCTATTGTATCTCCCAAATACGTAAAAGCTCTGCCTCTCAATGTGTTTCTCTAGTTTGATAATGATTACAGTGGACCTGATTGTTTCGGAATAACAATCTTGAAGGTTGAGGTAGAATATGCAAATGGCACCAAGTTCAAATTCTCTTCAGAGTTTCTGAGAGTTCATAGTCCAGCTGCTGATGGAAAAGTCAGATCAATCGGTGGTGACAAGGTCAAATCTTTTAATAATACATCAAAAGATGGTTCTAAAGCCACATGATTTTTTAGTTCATAAGTCTTTATTGTTTGGACATAGACTTGTGATATTCTTGTCTTAATAATTATGATGGCTGCCTATGATAAGCATTGGATGCTGCTTTGTTTGTTATTTTTGACTTATTGTTTATGACCACTAGCTTGTTGTTATTACTCTCCTAACGTGTCCTTGGATTTATATGGATTCTGGTAAGGACCCATTCTAGATGAGGCTATGGTTAACCAATATGTTGTGATCTTGTTTCCCTGACTACTATTTTGCTGCTCTATTGGCTGATCATTTGTATATTACTTGTTTTTTTTTTACAAAGATGATGTCTTTTTAAGTATAAGTTTAATCACTGCAATGATTTTGATTCCAGTGAATGTGGCTGTTTCTTTGCGTTATGGCTAATAGTTGTCACTTCTTATTTGAAACCGCTATCTCTAAATATCTTAGCAATTAGTTTTTTTGTCTTATGGTTTATTTACTACTCCATTAATTGTGTGACTAATCAAACATATATGATAAACTGACAAAGCCCTTTCATTCTTTAAGCTTTACTCTTTCACTCTATCAAGTGTTGGTGTTTTTGCGTTTGGCCTAACAATTTCGTTATTTTATTCAAATCAGGTGATATCTGGAAGGCGATATGTAGGAATCATGTCTGCAGAACCGGTGGGGAACTATGGGGTAAGGTAACTTACAAATCCCACTATTTTAACTTAGCCATCAAAGATAAACTTTTGTTTTGTCTTCTTTTGTAAATTAATGCGGTTGGTGCTATAAATCTTTGTTCAGGTTAGTGTTTGATGACTTGCATAGAACAGGGATATATCCATGGGACTATTTCTACGAGCTTGGGAGGAGTAAGTTTGGTCTCATGAGAAGCTATATTAAGACTCTCCAAAAGCATCATCTCAGCCGTGAACCTCCTCCTCCGAGAAGGAAATGATTCTGATGTCAATGTGTTTTAAAGCTTTGTTCAAAGTGTTTTTGATAGATTCTTTCTTGTGGAGGAACATGTAATCTAGTTGTCTTGTTTCTGGATTACGGAACATAAATAGTTCTAAAACGCTACCCTTTTACTCTCGAGTTAAAATCATATGGGTCTTAACCATTCAGCATCACATGTGGCCAGGTGTTTGCTCGTGCGAGACATCACATGTAGTAACTATCAAGCGTGAGTGGCGAGACTACGTTGGGCTCTTTAAGTAGAATCACTCTCATTAGACGTGATTAATTCGAATATTTTGCAAAACGTCAAACACACTAAAATAATGCTTTTTGTTTCCAAGTCTCCTTGAATATAAAGAAAAAGTTCAGAGTAATTTTATATTTATACTTTATAGTGTACATCAAACGCAATGTAATACTATATTTTTTCTTTGTATGTCAAAAGTTTCATTGTCAAATCGTTTTTTATCTCAAATTAGTTTTATATTTTTGAGCTATGAGACATTTTCTACACATATATTTGGAATAAATTAATTCATTTTTCAACGCATATTATATATTTTTATATAGTGCATATATTATCTTGTTTAAAAATAGTTTATGTATTCAAAATACAAGGAGAGTAGAACATATATTCTCGACATCATTAGCTACTTTGAATAATTTATTTTATAGCGATTGAACTTTGTAAATATCATTGAAACCAGTCGTTAATAGACTAAAATAGAGACATCTAGATTAAAATCCAATGTTCTAAAGATCGTTAGATGGTAACTAAACGTTCTATAGAGGACTAATGTATAGGTAAATTATTCGGGGTTAGTTAGAGACTAAGTGTTAACGAATTATTGATTTATTTTATATATTTTATATTTATATAAGTTATTTTACTTTTTTTGGTTTAGTTATAATTTTATTTTAATTAATTAACTAAATCAGATATATAAATAAAATAATTACACAAATTTTAATTCTTTACTAACATTATTATTTAATTTAACATATTTATACTAATTTAAACCGATTACAACTGTTTTCGAATAATTTAAATTAATTTAAACTGACTTGAGTTATATAAATCAGATTTTAAGAAAATCATTTCGGTAAAAAGGAGTTGCCGCCTAATATCAAATTATGTGATCTCAAATCTCTATAATATTATTTGAGAAGTCAGTTTCTTATGTGTCACGCTCACGTTAACTCTCGCGATGGTTGATTACATAGATACCCTTAATGAATTGTTAGATTTTAAGATTATTATTAATTTTTTATTTAGTTTCTTTTTACCTTTTTCCAAATAACATATATAATAAAAAGGAAATATTTCTAAAATTTGAAAACAAATTAAAAAACGAAAATATATGTATATAATATGAATTTATTAAAAAGGAAAATTCACAAAATAGTAATACCCCCATTAATATATTTATTGCATTTTAAGCACAATATATATTAAGTTATACATAATTTAACTATAATATTTACATATCTAAAACAATAACTAACCGAAATGAAAATAAGAAAATTAATTAAAGTTTATTATATTTAGAATAGAAAATAGCATAGCTGAATTCAAAAAATAGATATTATCTAATATATCAAATTGATAACCAAACCGACTATTGATCCAAAAATAAATAAACAGCCAATAATATATCCAAAGTCATGTATAATTAGAATAACATAATATTTATTAATATAAATTATACATATAAACTGATTTAAAACTAAAGCTAAATATCAATCAATTATTATAAAATTTTACTTTTATGAATATTCATATCCGTGCATTTGCACGGGAAAATCACCTAGTTTTGAAATAAAACTTAAGACATCATCTCAAATTATATCTGTTCATAATCTCATTTCAAACATACATATAGTAATGTTCATTACATATATAGAAAATCATGGATTTATGTTTTCCCCACTTTCATCGATTGATTTTCATTATGATGCCTTAATTACTAAAAATCTAAAAATAGAACGTTTCATAATAAATTAAAAAATTTAAAACTCAAAAGAACTCGAAATCAGCAAAGACCGAGTTTACGGAATTTCTCAGTTTTTTTTTTCCTTTTCTCACAAGAAAAAGTATTACATTCGTTCCTTTCGCTTCAATTCTCAACCACTTCAATTCAACGACTAAATAACAAATAATTTCTTCAAGTTTGTATAACTCGAACCCCATTTTTCATTCCTATCCTCAAAAAACACTGAAATAATTATTAATAAATCAAAAATGTTTTGATTTTATCTTCTCCTTGCTCGTGGGACCCGGATCTAAACATATTCTTCCGCACCTCATGTTATTAACGCTTGAGAGAAAATCTGAGTTCCCTTTCAACGACAACACAGAAAAAAACATTTTTTCCTTTCGAAATTTGAATTTCAAGAGACGTTTTATTGACGACGAGAAAACACTATCCACACAAAAATATTTCCGCAGCTGAATAAAGATAAAAAGCTTCTTCATTTTCTGGAGGTGTAGATAAAAATATTGATCTGAAAGCTAATTAAAAAACAAAATGGGAGAATCTGCAGTTCTAGCTCATTCGTATTCCTTCGCAGCTCCTATCACCCGTACCGATTCTCATGAGGTTAGCTTCTTCTTCCTTCACGATTTATTGATTCCTCTGTTTTTTTTCTTTTGAACACTGATTCCTCTGTCTTTTTTTAACACTGATTCCTCTGTTTTTTTTTTTTTTAAAAGCTCTCCTTTTGTGATTGTAACGATAAAATTTTCCCGGAAAAATTGTTCAACGGAGACTGGGCTGATGTTTATAAGTTTTCTGGTGAATCCCCACGAATAAAAATTCCACCTTTATAATATCAAAAAAAATATATAAATTTTCCGGGAAAACAGAACATAAAGTTTTTTTTCTTTGCAAAAACAAACGAGTTTCCAAGCTATGCTGTCTGAAACACAAAGAAAGCTTCTTTCTTTGTCCGTTACAAAATCTCTAAGAAAGTTTCCAAATATGAAAGTTTCCTAATTTGGATATGAATCTTTCTGATTTTTGCAGGAAAACACGATCCATGCGCTTAGCCAATCGATATCCTTTGGGAAATTCATGAGTGAGAATCTTGATTGGGGCAAATGGTCAACTTTTTCACACAAGAAGTACGTTGAAGAAGCTGAGAAGTACTCTCGTCCTGGCTCCGTTGCTCAGAAGAAAGCTTTCTTCGAAGCTCATTACAAGAGAATAGCTGAAGCCAAGAAAGCGGTAGCAGAAGAACAACCAACGGCCACGCCTGCTGAAGTTTTGCTTCATACTTTGGAGACACAGCCTCCGTTGAGTTTGTTACCAGAGGAAGAACCACTCGAAAGGAGAAGTATTGAGAAGGATGATGATGAAGTTGTTGTTGTTGTGGATGATTCATTAGAAGAGAAGAAGAAGAAGGGAGATGAAGAAGAGGTGGTGTTGAAAGAGGATTGTGAAAAGAAGAAAACCAAGAACAAACCGGTGTTTAGATTGTCTCTGGAGAAAACAATTCCTCCTGCTAAATCTTTAGAGATTACTTCATCAGATAAAACAAGGTTTGTGATCTTTACACAAATTTGTATGCAAAATATTTACTATTTTTCTGATTGTTTTTATGTTAATAAAAATGCAGTGAAAGACCGATGATTCAGAGTTCAGGGGTTCAACGCCAGAAGTTCAGTTTCTTGAGGTAAGTATCACTCTCTTTGTGTGTGATTTCCTCCTTCTTTCTTGGTTTTGATTTCTTTTTTAACTGGTTTTTATTGTGGTTATTATTTGTTATTATGTCTGCAGCTGTTTCATTGGTAATGCTAAAACTAGAGATCAGAATCAGAGCATGGTAAGATTTTTTATTCTTGTCAATATAAATCTCATGGTTACATCAAAAGAAGCTATGTTTCTTGTTTCTCAGTTTACCGTTTGTGTGTTGTGCTGAGAAAGACAGAGAGGAAGAACCAAAAGAAGCAGTTTATGTGTCTTTGTTTGAAGCCAAAGACTGTAAGAGAATCATAATACTAAATGCAAAGAAGCAGCTTCGAGAATGCATCGTTGAAGGAAGCTCTTACACAAGTCTCTGTAGAAAATGGCAAAATGGGAGAATAAAAAAGATCGAGTTCATAGTTTCGATCAAAGCTACTTAGTGATTTAAACACATTACGTAGATGGCACCGACTATACTCTTTTTCCACTAGTTTCAAAGAGTCTGAGTGCATTAGGAAGAAGAAGAAGAATAGCTGGAAGTAGCTACTTTTGTTTTAAGTCCTTTTGATTTCAGTCTACTTATGTAATGAAAGAACAAGTTCAGTTTCTTTATTTGATCTGAATCTTTAATCTTTAAAACTGGCTCTTGTTTGATGGAGATGGGATTAACTTTACATAAAAGAATGATATAAACAAGAATCGAATTACATTCACTTGAACTTGCAAAAGAAAAAGCTGATCCACATGAGAGAGAGACATCATTATTACTTTCTCTTTTCAGACCAAACACCAACCATCTTCTTCTTCATCGTCATCTAACCCATGTTCCATCATCATCATCCCCACATCGTAAAAACTCATGCTTTCATCCTCATCATCCCCACCACAAGACTCACCATCTTCTTTGTCGCTGTTATGTCCATTCTCTCTCTCTATCGTTTCAACTTCAGCTTCTCCTCCTTTGTCTTCTTCACTTTCGTCTCCATTACCATTAAGATCAGTTAAACCGGATCCGGGTCTGGTAATGATCCGACAAGTCAGCAGTTTATAGCTGGAAGAAGCCTTGTCATTTGATCTCAGCCAATGCACCTGACCAGACCATATTCTCCGGTGAGCTCTGGTCGGTTTTGATGGCAACTTGGTAAAAACTTCTGAGGATGTGGATGGAGTTGCAGAGTTGACCAGCCTTGGATTAAGCGGCGGAGGTGGAAGAATCCGGTAAGTTCGGACAATACCATGTTGCCGACCTTCTCGTCTCATATTACAGAAAGAAAGAAAAAGGGGAAGCACTATGAATTGGAAGTTAAGCTTGAAAGATATATAAAAAGCCAAGGAGCCTTTTAACGGAGATAGGAATATACTCAAAAGGTCTTATAGCGTAAACATCCAAAAAAGTAGTTTGTCGGTCAAGTTAATGAGTTGTTGTTGTTTATAAGATAACGTGCTAATGTTAAATGATAAGGAAAATAACAAAGTGATGATTAAAATATTTAAGGTTTCTGACATTATAGTTCATACTTGGCACATGTCATTAATACCTTAATCGAGCTGTAACAAATAAAGAAATGGGCCAACAACGCCAAGAATGAGTAAAGGAATGTGAAGAAACAGAGAGATGCAAATGGTCCACACAAAGACTTGCATTCTCTTCTGTCACATGAACAACTGTGTGGAACTCAAAGCTCAAATTCGGCAACACTGAACACAAACCGGAGGCTGTTTTTGTATGTTGCAGTCACAGCAAGATGTTTCACAATCGTTGTTGCAACCTGCATCATGAAGAACAACAACAAAACTCATGTAAACCTACAAGTACAAGATCATTTTCTCAAATTCCCTCAACCTATCTTTGTCTGACTTGTATCTGAAAGTTATAGTACCATGGACAGTAAAAAACTGAGATTTCTCATGTTCCTGAGAAGTTAGTAAGAGTTGCAGCTGTTTGGTTCCTGGAGCAACATCAGTTGCTGTGCCAAAAATCACCAAAGAGACAAAGAACAGAGCTAGATTTGTCAGTGCCATCTTTCTCCGTTTGTGCTAGTACTTGCAGCTTTACTTATGCAGTCACTAACATGTCAAGTAAGTTGAATCACCAGACTAGTGGTATGATCTTTTTTATGGCTATGTTAATCTACCACGTTACGTTCATGTGCAGACACAAGTACATGTAATGTTTTTATAAAAGACAATGCAGATAGAACACAAAAGAGTAGATGACAAGTAGATAAGATTTAAGTTTCCTTCAGTTTTATTACTTAAAAAGGAGCAATTTTTCAGCAAGATACAACCACAAAGCTCATCTACTTGGGAAGACTTGCCAAAAGAGTTTTTCACAGGTGCTAATATTCAGCAAAACAACAATACAAGAATAAATCCAAAATCAAAGACTTTGTGAAGATTTATTAGCTTCAAACAGTAACTGTGTCCCCACAACACTTCAACGCTGAAGTTGCTTGATGTGTGCGATCTGTTTGCCAGGGTTCAAACCCTTAGGACAAGCACGAGCACAGTTCAAGATCGTATGGCAACGGTAAAGCTTGAACTCATCATCAATAGCCTCAAGTCTTTCCTTAGTGTACTCATCACGACTGTCACTTATCCACCTGCACAATGTCAAGAAAATCTCTAAAGTCACAAACACATCCAAAGGACAAACCTTTATCTAACATTGACTATTATAATCAATCAGCTTCCCAAACCAACACATGGAAAGATCAAAACTTTATCTAACAAATGACTCTGATTATAATCAACTTCCCAAACCAAAACATTGAGAATTCAAAAACGAGTTAGATTGGAAACTCAAACATCAATTCCGGAAGCAAAATAGACTTGAAATAATAAACCACATAAAACAGATCCAACGCAACAAACAACAAGCTATAATATGAATCACCTAACAATGACTCGGTTAGAACACATCCAAAGATCAAACTTGGTCAAACTTTGACTCAGTTGGAACCAGCTTCCCAAAACAAAACACTAAGCATGAAATTTGATCCTCAAACATCAACAATTCAGGCAACAAGATAAACTTGAATGAACCAAATAAACGGACTCAACGCAGCTAACAAACAAGAGATACTAGAATCATCCCAACCATCCGCACAAATACACTATCCATGTTCACATACCTGTTAACAACAAGCTAAAATAGACTTGAAATAAACTACATAAGACAGATTCAACGCATCTAACAACAAGCTATAATACGAGTCACCTAACAATGACTCAGTCAGAACACATCCAAAAATCAAAACTTCATCTAACTTTGACTCAGTTATACCAGCTTCCCAAAATAAACCACATAAAACAGATTCAACGCAGCTAACAACAAGCTATAATACGAATCACCTAACAATGACTCAGTTAGAACACATCCAAAGATCAAAACTTCATCTAACATTAACTCACTTAGAACCAGCTTCCCAAACCAACACACTAAGCCTGAAATTTGATCCTCAAAAATCAACAATTCAGGCAAAATAGACTTGAAATAAACCACATAAAACAAATTCAACGCAGCTACCAACAAAATACAATACAAATCATCCCAACCATCCATCCACACAAACGAGATACACACTATCCATATTCTTCACATACCTGTTAGCATGCAGCAACGCAGCAGGCCCAAGATAAGACTCAGGGTTCCACCAATAACTCGGACACGACGTACTACAACAAGCACACAAAATACACTCATACATCCCATCAAGCTTCGCCCTATCCTTCTTACTCTGCAAAATCTCCTTCCCATCCCCCTCCCCCGGACTCTTCCTCTTCAGCCACGGCTCAATACTCTTATACTGATTATAAAAATTCGTCATATCCACCACCAGATCCTTAATCACAAACATATGCGGCAACGGCGTGATCGTCGTCTCCTTCCCTCCTTCCTCCCCTCCTTCGATCTTCGTCAAACACGCGAGCCCGTTGCATCCGTCGATGTTCATCGCGCACGACCCGCAGATCCCTTCTCGGCACGAGCGGCGGAACGTGAGAGACGGATCCATCTCGTTTTTGATTTTGATCAACGCGTCGAGAACCATCGGGCCGCAGTCCTTGAGATCGATCTTGTAGTCTTGGAGCTGTGGTTTGCTAGGGTTATCGGGATTCCATCGATAGATCTGAAACGTCTTGAAGTTCGATTGTTTTCCTTTTGATTCGGTGACGGAGGCTGTGGATCGCGACGGGATTAACCTCGCTGCGGTGGTTAATTGCGACGGTTTGGTTCTAACTAACCTTCCGATTAAACCGGACGCCATTTTTTTTTTTTTCTCGAGGTAGTGTGAGACGGAGTCACGGAGCGATGAAGATTGATTTTTATGTCTGAAAATTATTTATAAAATGAGGTTTACACGGGATTACTTACGTGTGTGTATTTGTAGATGTGAGGTTTAGCTTCGTCTACGTAGAAGAGCCGTAGATGGTTTGGACAAGTAAGGTTTGGAGAGATTGTGACCGTTTATTTTGGTGACTGAGTTAGGTTGATCGTGGCGAACACACCACTGGATATTTTCAAAGGCGCGTGCTCGTTTCGAGGAAGGTTTTATCTAACACGTGGGTTTAGGTGATTGGGTAAATGGAAAAGAGGAGTGTGGAAAGTAGAAGTGCGTTCCGTTTGGTTAGATAAGAGGAACATTTTGTGTAGTTTTTTTATTAAGTCTTTTTTTTAGGTTAACAGTGCAATCTATCTATTACTATAAAGAAGGGTTTTCCCTCATTTCATCCCGCCACGTCATCAATTCCTCTATTATCAGCGTGACACGTATCCTGTCAACTAAAACTCAACGTTTCATTAAGTAACCAACGCCAATTATTGGGCTTTGTTGAGTTTGGTCGAGTGACCCAGTCCAATGGCGAGTACCCCTAATCCCTTCTCCCTGGCCGGATCAAAATTCTGGTTTCTATTAAAGATTCCACCATTCGAGCGATGGGGTTGGTGAAGCTGACGTGCTTAATCCGTTTGTGGAGTTTTAATTGCACCGGTTGAGATTCTTCTTCATCAGTCGAAACATTTCCGTTTACGTAAACGTTTCCCTTTACTAATTCATCACAATTAACCCCTTCTTAAATCCATCTACAACAATCTAGCTTTTATGTGAGTTCCTTTCTGCAAGGCGGTGTCACTGCAAGTATAAAAAGGTAAGTCTTCCTAATCTCAAACCTATCTCCTCGATCTGTTGAACCAACAAAGTAAATTTATTTTCTGAGAAATGGCTAAATCAAAAGTTCTTCTTCTGATTTGAAGTCATGTAGTGTTCATCTGCTGTCGAGGTCAGGAATGTCAAGAAAAATCTAAAACCGAGGAAGATCAAGAATTGAGACTTATAAGATTGTTCGTGAAAAAAATTGCCTTAAGCTCTTTTAATCTTGCAATTGTTCTTCAATGATTTTTTCCTCACAGTTGGCCAATTCTCTTTTGAGTTTCTAATATTAAAAATAAAAACATTGTATTATTGCTGTCACTAGAACGGGATGGAGGATGAAGGAGTAAGCAGGAGGAGAGCAACGCAGCTCCCGGCGGAGAGAAACGATGAGAGCGGCGGAAGCGACGAAGAAAGTAGAGAGCAAGGGAGAGCGTTGAGATGGAGCAAGTGACGGAAAGATTGAGATAGAAAGCCATTGAACAGTCGACAGAGTGTTATGAGAGATAGCAAAAGCAATGTTGCAGTTCAATCTGGCACAAGGGAGGTTCACAAACTCTCAGACAGGGTAAATTTATAAAAGCTAGAATTTTTTTTGGTTTGTTTTTGTACAAAAAGGTAATGAAAGATTGTGTTTAAGTTGATTTTCTTTTGCAGAGATTTGTTCTTTCGAAGTTTCTGTAAATGGAGGGGTGAAAGCTGTTGTGGAGGAGTCTGAAATGACTACACAACTTCTCATGAAGCTGTTGACTCCTTCGTGACATAAGTTATTCACAGAAATTATATGGTTGACTTCACATAACGCCATCAAATATATGGTTGCAGATTTTTTTTCCACAGAAATTAAGAGTTTTCCAGGTCATAAAGCTGGCAAGAACAAAAGTAAAATTCATCCACTAAGATGATACATATATTTGCATGTAATAACTCAAATTCCAAATATATGACTTCTCATTGCATACTCTAAACATCATCTCTACTAAGTTTCTACACACGTAATTTCTCAAGGTTCTGTTCCAAAACTGCTGCACGTGTAGCTGTAATAAATTACAAAAAAAGTTATAGGAATAGTTGAATAAATAAAACTTACAAGAAAATTGATGTTAGTGACGGGCATGGAAGGATCCATTGTGCTTTGGAAGTGCATGGAGGAGTGTTGGCCAAAACGTTACGAGTCGTGAAAGAAACTGACTGATAAGCAACGTAAGCATTATATTTGTTTCATTGATATACATGTATAAGTCTTTGGCTTCGATCCATCTATATATCTCTGCTCCCAAGTTGCTGGCTTTAGCTCATTACCAAACTGGTGAAATTATTTAAGAAACAGAACAAACAGGTTCTCAGGTGATCTTTTGCTTTAGGAAATATCCTCCCTGAAGCTAAGAAGCTCAGCTACCCTATGTGCAGTAACTTCACCAACTCATTGATTCCTTAGTGACTTAACACCGTCGAGTATTTGGTTGCAGCTTTCCTTTGCAGCAAATAACCAAGAGCAAGCACCAACCAAAGTAAATACATGCTAAATGAGGAACAAATAATGGATATAACAAAGTATTATTGATTTTTTTTCCTAGATGTGCTGAACAAATAATGAATCCATTTTTTTAATATTGGCATCTAAGATCTCCCCTTGCATACTCTGAAAATAAATTTTGTTCTTCTTTGTGGTGCATTCGTCGTATACAGAAAAGTATACTCAGCATCGGAAGCTAAGGTAAGTTCTTTCACCCACCAAAGAATATGTGATTGTCATAGACCTCAGCCACTATCAAATGTGAATATAAAATCTTCTGATGTAGAGTTTGTTTATTCACAGCTCTGCATGTTGAATTTCAACTGCAATTCTCAATAATGACAATACTGAATAATGTAAAATAGTTACATAATAAAAATGAAAAATGAAACTTCTCAATAATGCCAATATTGAAAAAGGTAAAATAGTTACATAATAGAAATGAAACTTCTCAATAATGCCAATATTGAAAAAGGTAAAATAGTTACATAATAGAAATGAAACATTTTTAGCTAGATAAACATATGATATTTACTAAAGAGTTAAACAATGGGTTATTCTAGATTTTGTAAACAACATTGAGGAAAACTAAAATAAAAATAACAAGAATGAGTAATATATATATATATATATATATATTTTTTTTTTTTAAAAAAATTATTTTAAGTTGAAAATAACTTAAATACTATTTTATATTACTTCCCGCCCATAGGGCGGGCCTACCCTAGTCTACTATAATTAAAAGGGATTATTCTAGAGCTGTGGGATTGTCCACGTATATAAAAATAATCAGCCTATCACAAGCCACCAAACTTCCACGTGACATCCCTCTTCGCTATTGACAAACTTTTACTTCGCTATTGACGAATTGACCCACTATAAATTTTAGTCACAATATCGTCATCGTCTTTTCCACTTCGTCTTCAACCTTTCAACTCCAGAGAAACAGCCATGGATTTATAACATCCCCACTCAATCATTCAAAGCTTCTTATTACTCCTTCCTTCTTCTAAAATAGTTTCGTACCAGATCCCCCTGTTTTGACTCCTATATAAATCACGTATAGCTAGTAGCTCCACAGAATTTACACACTCACAAGAAGAAAAAAGCTATGGCAATGGAATCTGGGAATCTGCTCAAGCCACCTGCAGGTCTCTTATCGCTCAGTTTTTCAACAACATCTCACCGAAACAACCCTTAATCTTGATGATTTTGTGTTCGATTATGCGGTCAAGGAGAAGCCTTTGTTGAATGAGGAAATTCGAGGTGGCCCTGAATACATTGTTCTCAAGACTATAATTGGGAGTGTGCTTTGACAAAGTATTGCATTGGATTACTTTGTTTCTCAGGTATGTAACTTGCTCCTTCTCAATATCCTTAACAGAAAGCGTGATAAATGAAAGCATGGAGAGATTGTAAGAAACTGTCTAATGTTGGAAGTTTGATTCACTCAGGTTGATAAGTTGGTGGAAGAGTTTACTGGTATAAACCGTGGGATGGAGGAAACATGAACTTTCACAATGCACAGAAAAAAGCTCTTTCAGTTTGTAAGGAAGGCTAATTGACGTTATTCTCAAAGTTGGTTTGTTTGATAGATAGTTCTATTTTTCTCTCTGATCTCTATATATATGCTTTAACTCATATTCAAAAGTCTTGAATCTTGACTTTGGGAAGTATGCTCAGTCTTGAACATTCTTATGGAAACAATGTTGTGTTAGCGTAGATCCGAGATTTCTTGGAGAGAGGCTAGATATGCTCAGTCTTGAATATTGTCAGTTGTTGAATCATGTTATTGATGAAGTGTTTGTGACATCAATTCAGTTTGTCTCGATGGCAAAACAATTGTTACTTTTATGTTTTTTGAATTCAAAGTTTGTGTCTTTTGGTTAATATGAGATCTTAAGTTATATGATCTGTTACTCCATGAAAATGCTTGTTACTTGTACACGGATGCATGCTACTGTGTACTTGAATATAGACCTCAGATTATCTGTGAGCCATCTAAATTGTTTGGAACTGTGAACTAGCGGATGAATATGGACCTGAGATCATCTGTGAGCCATGTTCTCGAGGGAAAAAGCAGTGGCATGTGGAATGTTGGGAGTGAGAGCTTGACTGATTGACTAGATTTTTTTTTTGCGTTGCGGTAAACGTGTTGTGGTTGCTAATAGTGGGCATAAGTGATCTAAGTTTTACCTGTGAGTATGTTTCTTTTTTAAAAGGGCTTATTCTTAGTGTAGTAGCCAACCTGTTTTTTTTGTTGATTAGCTTGATCTCGATGGCTTCTAGAGTCTCTTAATAGCTTTCCATTGTTGGATATACTATTGCAAGTTAGGCCGCAGGTTTTTCACTCCAATCAGTCTCTGCCTCTTAGACTGCCTTTAGTTTGAAATTCTCATCTTTTTAAGGTCGGTGAAAGGATTGTTCTGATAGTACATCAAAGGTTCTGTAGTCAGCCAGTAAATTAGAATGTTTAAGGTTGCAGGAGATGCGTGTGAACTTCGACCCGTTTCTGTAATATGTAAGAGACTGTCTTCCACACTCGTGTGTAGAGCAAACTGTGAGCCATATAAATTATTTGGAACAGTGAACTAGCGGATGAGTACAATCTCCTTACTTTACTTGCACACCTTTTACCATCTTCCTTCTATCTATGTAACTTCAAAAGATAAATCGAGGAATTAAAAAGCAGTGGCATGTGGAATGTTGGGAGTGAGACCGTGACTGATTGATTAGATATTTTTGTGTTGCTGTGAACCTGTTATGCTTGCTAATATCTGCGGTTGGTTCCTCTGCGTTAGAATATTTCCTACCTATGGGTAGGTTTCTTTTTTCTTTGCTCTCCTTCTTAGTGTAGTAGCCGACATTTTTTTGTTGATTGGCTTGATCTCGATGGCTTTTACATCCTCTACAGCTTCCCCTTTGTTGGATATACCTTTGCAAGTTCAGCCGCAGGCACCGCGCTTGGGATTATAGACCTCACACACATGCAAGGTTGCATCGCGCTTGGGATCAGTCTCAACGCCACCGTTGAATTTGTTATTCAAAACTACCGCAGCCACCATTATAGAGCAGAACACTTGATAAATATCGACAAGGAGATATTGAAGCTGCGAGCGCAGGGGCTTACTGATGACGACGATGTGGTTCTGTGGAAGGGAAAGGGAGATGTGTATCGTCCTTTTTTTGACACACACCAAACTTGGAACTCTACTCGAGTGCAGCAGGCAAAGGTTCACTGGTTTAAAGGATTATGGTTTGCAGGATCAACTCCAAAATACTCTGTTTTGTCTTGGATTGCCGTACACAATCGCATGGCAACAGGTGATAGGCTCTTGCAGTGGAACCCTCAAGCTAATGCTCAGTGCATTCTCTGCAACTCTGCAGTTGAATCTCGAAACCATCTGTTCTTTAGCTGCACCTTTTCTGAGACTATATGGCGGAATCTCACGAGAAAGCTACTTGGACAGAACTATTCCCACATCTGGAATCAAGTTCTGGAGCTTTTGTCGACTTGTAGGATCACAGGAGCAACAAAGTTTCTCCTAAGATACGCATTCCAAGTTTCAGTGCATACTATTTGGTTGGAGAGAAATGGCAGGAGACATGGCAAGGCCCAGAGACCACCGAGTATCATTATCAAGTTCATTGACAAGCAGATTAGGAACCGAATCAGTTCGCTCCAGGGACGCTCCGGTACATCATTCAACAAAGCAATGGGGGTCTGGTTTTTATCTAGAGATTAGCTGGTTGCTATTTCACTCTTTTGTTTTCAATTCTATCACACATGTTAGCCTAAAGAAGCATTAGTTTGTACAAACGTTTTTTTTTATTTGAATAAATTCAACATTCTTTCAAAAAAAAAAAAAAAAAAAGTTCAGCCGCAGGTTCTCAGTCAAATCTCTGCTTCTGAAAATTCTCATCTTTTGTTTTAAGGTTGTTAAAAGGTATGGTTCTGACAGGCGTATAGGCTTATAGATACCAGTTTCAACAGGTAATAATAGTACATCAAAGGTTCAGTAGTAAGTTACTTAGAATGTTTAAGGTTGCAGGAGATGCGTGTGAACTTGGACCCACTTCTGCAATATGTAAGACTCTGTCTTCTGCACTCTATAGATGATATTTTTTTTATAAAAAAAGTCCCCATAATTGAAGCTTGAATGATAGA